AAGACCAGAATACAGTGTATACACAGATTCATATGTTCATACATGCATAGCTATACACTGTCTGTGTGCGTACGTGTGGCTTCTGTATAGTAGTTTGCTATGTAAATTTGACAGTTTGGTTCAAAACTGGCCTAGCCGTATCTGCCTATCTATCTACCTCTCTATCTACCTATCCATCTACCTATGTATATACTAACCCAACTATCAATCTACCAATCCGCCCACCCGTCCAACTATGCATCCATCCCTTTATAGGCTTGCCGTTCTGTAGTACGACTCTTGGATTTGATTAGAATGTCGCGTAAGTGTATAGGCGCTTGGGTGTATATGTATAGACACGTCGATGCATGTGTGCGCGCGTAATCACGCGAATACATAGATATAGAGAGAGAGAGAGAAAGAAAGAGAGACAAAAAACATGTGTATATCTCTATATATACCTACACACACATTCATGCACGCATGCATGTCTGCGTACATATATATATATATATAAGACTATATGAGACAGGTATATGTGTATATGAGACATGGAGGGTGTGGAGTCAAGGGCGCAAGGGCCGCTGATCAGATGTCGCTCTCCAAACTTGAAGTATTAAGCGCGCTAACAATGCTGCTGCTAGTACTAGTACTAGTACTACTAGTACTACCAGTACTACTAGTACTACTAGTACTACTAGTACTAGTACTAGTACTAGTACTAGTACTTGTGCTAGTACTACTACTACTACTACTGCTACTACTGATACTACCGCTACAACTACTACTACGACTACTACAACTACGACTACTACCACTACCACTACTTCTTCTACTACTACTACTACTACTGACTACAACTACGACTACGACTACTACATTACTTCTACTACTAGTACTACTACTACTGCTACTACTACTACTACTACTACTACTACTTCTGACTACTACCACTACTACTACTACTACTACTACTACTACTACTACTACTACTACTACTACTACTACTACTACTACTACTACTACTACTTCTGACTACTACCACTACTACTACTACTACTACTACTACTACTACTACTACTACTACGACTACTACTACTACTACTACTACTACTACTACTACTACAACTAGGACCACGGCTCATATTCCGCCGTGACTCGAAATGGCAATTCGCTGTCTCAAGTCAAGCCTGGAACGTGATTTCCACTGGGAAATGCCAACGAATCTCCACCTTGAATGGTTTCCATGCGCTTGCGCGCTCTCTCCAAGCAGGGTTACCATTTTCGCTGGTTTTTGCCAGTGAAAAGAAGGATTTTGTTCCTCGCAAACTAGCGTGAAATCGGCAAGGTGCACTGGTTTTTCTCACTCAAACACCGACCGCGTTTCTGATTACAGCAAACCTTCCAAATCAGCCAAGAACTCGCCAGGGCTTCGAGCACCTAGCGTTTGCCGCCAGTTCCACTGGAAAACCTGCTGTTTCACAGCAGGGTGGAACTGGCTAGATCCGTCAACTTTAGTCTTGGCACACACCTTCGGTGGCACCCAAGTCTTAAGAGACTGCCAGGTCCTGTCCAAAACCTGCGTGGGAGGCAAACGCAAGCAAGGACCGAGACAGTCGAACTCCAAAGGGAACCGATGAGGAATCAGCACAACCTCAGCCACAAAAGCCAGGAACGGGCCGGTCAGCAGTTTGCGCGACCACGTCAAAAAGAGAGTCTAGATATATCGGACAAACCTCAAAGAACGGACCAAGGCTTGAGTGACCACGCAGCCAGTGCGAACAGCCAGCGCAACGAAGAACCAAGATCAGACCCAAAGCCAGACGAGCGTCTTCACACAAGAACATCTGAGCCAAAACTAACAGCGAACGTTGATGCAGTCCCCACGAACGACAACATCCCCCCCCACCCCCCCACCACCCCCCCACCCCCCCAACCCCAACCAATGAGACCGACAAAGCCACAGTCAGAAAAAATGCTGTTTGACGCACGGCGGAATATAAGCCGTGGTCCAACTACTACTACCTACTTCTGGCTACTACCACTACTACTACTACGACGACTACTGCAACTACTATATCTACTTCTGCTACCACAACTTCCACACTCCTGCTACTTCCAGTACTACAACTTCTGCTACCACCACTTCTACTACTCCTTCTACTTCTTCTTCTACTTCTACTACTTCTGCTACCGCTACCGCTACTCCTACTACTCCTGCTACTTCTACTATTCCTACTACTTCTACTTTTGCTACCACTACTTTCCTGCTACTCCTGCTACTCCTGCTAAACTTCTACTACTTCTACTTTTGCTACCACTACTTTCTTGCTACTCCTGCTACTCCTGCTAAACTGCTACTACTGCTACTGCTGCTACTGCTGCTACTGCTGCTACTGCTCCTGCTGTCACTGCTACGCAATCACAACATTAACACTTCTCACAACGATGATAATGGCCGTGTGCCCCACCCCCGCCTCCGGCTTCGCCTCGCACACGAAGCCGGTGCCCAGACTGTGGGCGCGCCGCAACTGAAACTGGGACTCCTCAGCGCCACCAGTGAATACATGCGGGAACCCATGTTGAAACGGTCTCCATTTGGATTCACCTGTTGGATTTCGCTTTTCAGAAGATATTGCAGCAACAACTTCTCTTTTGCCTGGTGTCCGAGTCAAATCAATCCAAGAACCCTGAATGAATTCTCTCACCTGCTTTTGTTGAACTTCCAGGTACCGCCTATAGTCACTGGCAACCAAAATCTGTCCCATTTGGAACCCTTGGACAACCCATCTACCTGCTGTGGCTCACCTGCCTGGATATGGAGAGACACTTTCCAAAAAGGGAAAAACAAAAGCTTAAAGGGTCGATGTTAAAGTCAAACAAGCATTTGTGCTATTTGTGAAGAGCCAAAGAGAAACAACATGAAAACCAAACGAGAACAAACAAAAACCAACAAAAAGAACACCAACAACTAAAAAAGAAACCCAAAACATTGACTCTGAAAAGTGAAAGCCCGTTTAACATGTAGAAATTCAACAACTGGTTTCACCCAAGGCAGTTTGCTTCGAAACCGCGGCAACCCGAAGCTTCGCGGAGCCTTGTGCGCTGTGTCGCTCTCCAGGGTGGGGGTGAAGCTGAAGCTCCGCACCTCCCGCGCCTCGGATTGGCGGAGGACCCACAAAATGGCCAACGGTTTGTCGTCGGGTAAGCCTGCGGTGGGTTTTCCTTTGGGTTGTCCTTTAAAGCAACCTTGAAAGGGAACCCTGCCAAGACTGATCCCCGCATGTGTCTGTCCTTTGGTGCTTCAAAAACACACAAAACGACTGGTTGGTGGCTTCCGAACGATAAGACACCCCCCATTCAGCAAGCGAGTTAGAACTGTAAGGAGCCTTCACGTGACGTCGGAAAACGTCCGGAACCTGATGTCGCTGCAATTTTATTCAGTGGGCCCAGCAGCATAAGATGGCCGGCTGCTCCAAGAGGAAAGTCATGCGAAATGCGCGAGGCAGTCGGGGGATCCTAAACTGTTTTCAACACACGGGTTCCAGCTTGCACCAAGGGACAACCAGGTGGGTAGCATCCTTTTGGTTTGGAACCCACTAGTAACACATGAGGTCACTCAACCCAAATCCCAACTGGCCATTTTGGTATTTGGTTCTACCTGGTTTTAAGAAATTCCATGCAGAGCCACCCGACATGAACTCCCGCCGAAATGATATCCACCATCTCCGGTCAATTCACACCCACCTGTGGGGACAAAAAGACCCAAAACCAAAGAAATCGAAACGGAAACCCAAAAGAAAAGACGTGTTGTAGAATCTCCGGTAGATGCAGGCTTACATGAAATGACCCGGCCTCAAAATAATCTGCGCAAAGAAAAAGGGAAGAGCCCCCAGAAAACTCATCCGGCAGTCACCAAGCTCGGAGCGACAAATGCTTTTTTAGCAAGACAAGCGGCTGCACCCTGTGGCTGCGCCATCTTCTCCTGGTCATCACACGCATGTGTGTGTGTGTGTAACCAAGGGGAGCAAGCCACAGGGCAAAAAGCAATGTCAGAAACAAACAGCATTAATTGCAACCCCCGACAAATTTGTGCTGAGAGTCAAGCCACCCTCTTTTCCGCAGTCATTTTTTGGGGAATTGGGTCGCGCATGGTAGCCATTTCCTTTGGTCACACCTCTCATATAACCATCTGAAAAACTAATATCTGCTCCCCACCCCATGTCCCTATGTCAGCCAACCTGGGATGGTCCTCTCTAAATCTCTCCTGTGGCGGGTGTCTTAAGGTAGGGAAATGTGGTGGGTCTCCTTTTGGTTCCTCTTCGCACATCCATCCAAAGAGGCTCCTTGCTTTGGGACATCGGTTCTGAGTCTCTCTTTTCAAGCGCGGAGGCTCTGCCAGACGAACGTCTGTGCAGCCAGCTTACGCCCTCCAATTCGCAAGAGCTGCCTTTTGGCCTCGTTTCAAAACCCTCACTTTGAGGGAACCTAGTTCCGTCACATGCACAAGTGAATGCAAAACACGTGACACGAGCAACACGCGGCTTGGTTGTTGGCTGCGCTCCCGGAAGCATCCCGCCTGGGTGGCTTTCCTCATGAAGCGGCCCTTCCTGGCGAACAATCGATGACGTCCTCGCACTCAACCCGCGAGGGCATTGTGTCACCAGAAAAACCTATTTCCAAACTTGGCAACGACTGGAGACCAAACAGACCAAACACCAACAAACAATACCTATACCAATCTTGGAAGCCTCGCCAGATTTCGACCCACTCGCGTTTCGCGGCAAACGTGCAGGCTTCGCCTGCGCCGATCCAGCGCCCGGGCCGGGAGCACCCCGGGGACCCGCAGCAAGCGCCCGTACTTCAGGGGCTCCTCCCGCTGGTAGCGCAGCAGATGCTCCCCGCCTTCGCGCAAGCGATCGGGCGATCGCCAAGTGCGAAGTGCGAAGCTCTTCCAAAGGAAGAAAAGAGGCAAAGGCAACGGAGGGAGCGGAGGCAAAGGCTCAATGACCAGTTCCCAACTTCAAAACCGGTGGAAAGTGCGGGAACGACCTCTCATCAAAACCATGGACAATGGAACATTGCCAATCACCAATTCAGCAAAATGGCATGGGAGGGCTGCACGGGCACCCTTTGACGGTCCTTCCAAGGGGTGCGAAAGCGGTGCTTGTACAAACGAGGCCGAATGGAATGGATGGATGGATGGATGGATGGATGGATGGATGGATGGATGGATGGATGGATGGATGGATGGATGGATGGATGGATGGATGGATGGATGGATGGATGGATGGATGGATGGATGGATGGATGGATGGATGGATGGATGGATGGATGGATGGGATGGGATGGGGTGCGATGGGATGGGACGGGATGGGACGGGACGGGACGGGATGGGATGGGATGGGAAGAGGGAGGAAGGGAGGGAGGGAGGGAGGGAGGGAGGGAGGGAGGGAGGGAGGGAGGGAGGGGAGGGATGGATGGAGCGACCCGCGCGAGTTCAACATGAGGCCCCTCTGCATGTTGCGCTCGAGTCAAACCCGCCACCCAAGCATAAGGGCAAGACAGCGGCGCTGCCCGCTGCCACACCAACACTCGACTCAAAGACTCAAAAGGGGGGGGGGGGCTGTCCATCTACCTTCCCTTCAACCTTGTATTAGGGGGCTGGCAGCTTGCCCTCCTTCAATAGGCTGGTAGGACAAAGACAGCACTGCAGGCACGCCGCAAGCTAGTAGTCAGATAGAGTTGATTCAACCAGAATAACATGTATTGAGGAAAACCACCAGCTAGAAAACGCATAATGTCAACTTCGGATTCCGGACCAGACTCATCCGGAGTGGTTCTCCTCAAAAGCAAGCCATTGTAGAGGCTTCCCCTGAGCAGCTCGGTTCTCCAGATTCCTCCCAGGTTGCCAGTGCTGGAGCCCCACCCCCAGAGCCAAAACCCCAAAACCCCTTCGAGCGAAGCCGCAGGAAGGCATGGACCGCATGAGCTCGAAATGCATGCGGAGCCGGGCAGCGCGAGGCCGGACCAAGATCTTCACCTGCTTGGAACCTCAGGTTGCCAGCTGGGTGTCTTTTTCCTGAGGCCGTACCCAAGTTTTGAGGGGTTTTAGGGGGACCCAAAAGAAATACCACCCACTTTAGGGATCCCCTCAGAAAAGATAGGCCCAAATGAGTGGCTTTCTGGTGATACCCTTGTGGGTTGCCTTTGGTGAACTACCAAATTTGTCGGAAAAATACAACAAGCTGAAGTCCTTTCTCTTTCTGGTCGGGTGTTCTTTTCCCATTCCTTCCACAAAAGGGGTCACTCATTTTGAACAGACCCAAATGCGTTTGTCTTGCAGGGAAACAGACCCAAATTGGCAGCTTCCCTGCAAGAGTGTCTGCACGATTCGTCCCACAGAAAATCGAACCCGGTGACAAAACAGACATGCTTAAAGAATCAAATCAACCCAGGGAGGACTCGAACCTCCATCATTGCTGTGTGCTTTCGCTCGCCACGTGGGCCGCTGCAAGTCAGAAAGAGCAGCGCCTCAACTGCTAGGCTTCTCTTGTGAAACAAAAAGATTGCTGGGCCTTGTTTTCCTAGATGATGGGCTGACCCCCTGTTGAATCATCGGTGGAACATCAATCCAAAGTTTGGGTAGATATTCAACAGGAAAGTTGCGATGGCCCTGGTTTGACCGCCTTTAAGGTGGCGTAAAATCACATTTTACCCTGAAAAGATCTCCTCACCGGGTAAAGAAAGAAAAAGACCTCGCCGATGACTTGCAGTCCATCCGCGCAGATTCTCCCTGAATTCTTGCTCAAACTTCTAGCAAGATTTGCTCCGTGTCTCCAGGCAATGGCAAGCAACCGGGGGAAAGCCACCATTTACCCGGGCAGAGGGGGAGACTTCCGTTAACCAAAGTGGAGCCCTCTCAAATCGTGTCAGAACCAGTGAACCCAGAGCCCGACTAGTGCAGCCAGGCGGGCCAAGGACATCTGGATCGTTCGTGGAGGAGGGGTCCTCATCCAAGAAGGACTCGTTGGCCGAGGAATAATCGGAGGACTGGTCCTCGTCCGAGCTGTCCTCTTCCTCCTCCTGCGCCGCAATGCTCCTGGCGGGTCAACCCCTGCAGAGTTGCACCACGTAGAGGCATGCCCGTTTTAAGGACCTCTTTTGGGGTTCCGTGTCGTTTGCAGGCAAGTAGATTCCCAATGCAAATACGCCACGCGGCTCTTTGTGGATGTGCGCTCTGAGGGCCTAGTGCTTTCGGACTTTACGCCTACTGCAAACAGCTCCTGTGCATACGTGTTTGAAATCATTCCTCAGAGACGGCTGCTTTTGCTAAATCTACATTTGTGTTGAATGTGTGTTATTTGCGGCAGCTGGCAAAAGAATCTGCGGCAGCTTCCAGCATGCACTCATGAATCAGGTTGGGTGTGGTAGCTTTCAACTGACAGCATCATGCGATTGTGTTGAGGCAAACAAGGCGTGAATGCGGTCAATCCTACTTGGGCCAGCCATCCTGGACAAAGTTGCTTCCCTGCACTCACTTTGGGTTTGGGGACTGGGGCCGCAAAAAGAACAGGGGTGCGTCGAGAATCCGCGCACCAGGGCAAAATGGTTGATCACCCTTTAGAGGCGCGGAGCCACCCCGATAAGCGTGCCTGGGGAAATCTGCGGCATCCTGTGTTCCTTGGCCCCTCTTGAGCGGATTGCTTGCTGTTCCTTGTTCTTGGCTTTTGGTGGCTTGCTGGTCTACATTTGATCGTAAACCAAAATGAGTCTTTTTCGGGGTTAGGGTTGCCATCCCATGTTGCAGGCCGGTAGGAGGTTCTAGACATGTGCTGGGCTCAGTTGGCAGATATTGTTTCAACAACCTGCTTTACGCCTCCCTTCAAAGGGGACCAGGGCTGGTTCTGTTCTACCACATGTTGCATCCAACCCCCAAATTATATGCAGGACACAAGGCAGTAGCACCACCCACCAAAATCGCCAAGAATGGTTCTGGTCGCTGCTCCGGTCTGCGTAATTTACAAGAATTTTAAAATTGGAAAAAAGACAACCCCGCGTAAACTCCCTTCATCATGGGTTAGCTTGTGTTAACCCCAAATGAGATCGTTCTAATTTGACCAGTCAAATGGATATGTCAAAACAGGAGCATTCCCTTTGAGCCCGAAAAAAGGCGACCTTCCTCCCCCCGCAACACCACCCCGCCCGACCCGACCCCCGTTGGGCTCCTGTAGGCCTCGAGGACGTCCTCCATGACGCGGACCTCCTCAGAGGTCTCCCGCAGCGCCGACAGCATCACCACCTTCTTCGGCGACAGCCAAGCGGCGGCGCGCTGCAGCAGCGCGTGGACCACCACCTAAGCCACTGGCTGAAGGCTCCAAGGGAGGGGAATACAGGGAAAGGGCTTTGGCGTTTTTGGAGTTATCTCTAGCACCTTCTTTTGGGGTGTTAGAGAGACACCCAAAGGAAACAAACAATCTTGAGGGTCCTATTATGACACGTAAAACCTGGCTCAATAGGCAAAGGGAATGACCCCGAGCAACACCAGCCAGCTTGTGGTTTCATTTAATCCCAAACAGCTCGTTCGCAAAAACACGGTTGATTTCGCAAGAACCAGCAAGACGGGGGGAGTGTCAACAATACGATCAAGAAAACAAGCGCTGCGTCCGGAAACCTCCCGACAACTTCCTGGGAACCCCCGCAATGGTCACCTTCCATACAAGTCTTTAGCCCCGGTGTCTCATCTTCCGCTCAGGTCTCAAGGCACTAGCCCTCAGCTTGCGGCTTTGGAAAGGGTGTTGCATACATTCAGCCTGGATTATTTGCTTGCCACCATTGAAACAAGCTCATGTCGGCTTCTTCCTGCAACACATTCAATTCACAAACCCTGTACAAAGCCAAGCCGCCAAGGTCAAGGTAGTGGTGACACAGACTGGAGCCGTCCAATCAACCCATGCGCCCATCACAAACGGGCTCACCAGCAAGAGGCAGAAAATCGCGATAGCCATTCCTCGGGAAGGGCGTATCATGGGTCGACCACAAGGTAAGCCTTCCAAAAAATGCTTAAGGCGGCATGCCACAGCACTATCAACCCCCTCCACTGCGCGTATTCAAACTCTATCAACACTACAAAACACCAGTGTCATATCCATGCCAGCATGTGCATGCTGCCATTCCTGTCCTCTCTTACACGATAATCATCTGGCAACTTGTTGACCGCTTCGTGGCATGAATCAGGAATGACGGCATTCCTGCAGAAAACCATGACTGTAATACAAAAACAACTTGAACGCAACCTAGGTATCTAGAAGCCCAGACTGCTAAATAACTCAAAGAACTGTCCTTTGCTCAACATGATTGCGCTGAGTATTCCTCCCGATAATCTTCAGAAAGACCCGGTTCCAAAAAAATGGGGGGGCTCCGAGAAATGGTCGGTTTCGTTTGGGTTTCCTATGGCTTTCCCTGCAAAACCATTAAAACACTGTGTTGTTCAAAGTGAAGGGATCTGAATCCGTAATCCATAGTGGGACCGCACCACATGGAAAACCACTTCCATTTGGCGTGATGCATAAGGATTGATTTTTTTGAACAACCCAGAAAACAGAAAACAGGGGTCAACACAGTTGAGTGAAGGCCTACTGGACATGGCAAAATTGGGCCCCTGGCTTTTCATCGAAGTCCCCCTTACTTTCCCCCGCATGGAGCGAAGACATCTTGACCCAAAGGGTGATAGGGTTTTGAAGGGGCACCTGGGCACAACTCCGAAACTGTTTGATTGGGTGTCTTTTTCTATGGGACCCTCAAATTTTGGTCCTCTAAAACCGCAAAGAGTACCCTCCAGACATCCAGTGGCCGCCTTTATCGCCATGGGTCCCAAGAGGCTCTGCAGCCGCGCGATCCGCGCCACGTACATGGCTCGCAGCTTGCCTTGCCGCTCTCCGGAGGTGGAGTGCCTTCTCAGGGCCACCTCTGCCTCCTGGCCAGAACACTATGGATTGGTTGGAGGGGGTTCAAAAGGGTCGTCAACTGGAATAGAGCTTTCAAGGGACAGGCTGGGACCTTTTGCTTGCCGCTCCCTACAGAATCAATGGCCACTTTAAGGTGGACTTGAAAAGGGGGAATGCCCTTTCATTATTCGGGGCCAAGCCCTCTCTTGAAGAAACATCCACAAGGGGGGTCCCAATATCAGCAAACACGCAACATGCTCCAATGGGTGAAAGGATGACAGGACCACCGCCACTCTACAGCTGGTAAAACAAGAGACAAGACTGGCAGCAACAAGCCTCGGTTCCAATCTGTGGCAAGGTAAAACCAGACACACACGCCACCGTTTGGTTGGCTACTTCTTCTCGGCTTGCTCTGCGCCAAGTGGCATGCCACGTTGGATGCCAATGGATCACCAACAAGCAACCTTTGAGTGAACTGGGTTTGCGTGCGATGCTTTTTTTTTGGAAAGCGGATCGGTTCGGGAGGCAAAACGATGGAGAAGGAGAAAGTAACGCTTTTTGGGGGGAGGCCCTTCCAAACAGAGGTAGCCCAACTCATTCCGAATAAGTTCCGCTCTTTGCTCCTTTACCCTGGTGAGCTCAATGCAAGACACATCCACAAATCCCCCGAACCCCAGGCGCTGTCCTTGTAGGACAAGCCTCCATCCACATACTCCTGCAAAAGGCTGGGGCGGCCCGCACGGCACAGAAACATGACCTTGGGAAAAGCTGACCCCATTACTTCACCATTGACCCCCTAAGTAGATCAAAGTGAAACTAATCTTGATGATCCCACAAAACCATTGATAACCCCAGAAAAGAGTCGTGCTTTTGATGGGGACAAACGGCGAAGCATCAAGGCAGTCCTGGATCTTATGCTTCATGATGTCCTCAGACTCTGCTCCCCTTGCAAATGGACCCGGAAAGAGAGGGTCAATTCATTCAACCCAAAATGAGGCTCTGCTCAAAAACGAAACGCATACTTCCCTCACTAATATGGAACCCACATACCCTTCTTGAGAAACATTGTCTTCCAGAACCCCGAGTCAGATTTCGCAGCAACGGTGGAAGGTAGCGAGCAAACCGGAAGCGCTTACTCAACCAATTCAGCTTGAACAGGCCCCGAGCCAGCGAGCCGTCCACGCTCCGCAGCGGAGGGTCGTTGAAGTATCTGCCGGCAACCAAAAGGGGCGGGGAGACCCCATGAGGCATGAGGGTTCAGCCGATGTCAACTGTGGATAAAACCAGAGGGTTGCAATTACTCATCAGGGGTGCCCTTTTAGTGGAGAATTCGCCTCGGCCCCAAAGGGGCCAAGGGCGCTCAGATCTCTTCTCCAAAGAGAATCTTCGCTTTTCCCCTCCCCCAACCCCCTCCCCAACCAAAATTTTGCCGGCCCCCCCCCCCAACCCATGTCAGCTGGCCCAAAATCCTGTCCGGCGGGCCTTGAAATTTTCGGGGTTCGTCGGCGTCCAGCTCTATGGGTCCATTTTTGTCGAAAATGTGGGGAAAATCACTAAAATTGCTTTTTTGTCCTGAAAAGCATGACCTCCTGCTGGCCAAGGCCTGTCTGACGTGTCTGAGACTAGGCTCAGGCCCAGCCCAACCAGCAATCCGCCTGCTGGCCCCAAGTCATCCACAAGCCCAGCCCAGCCTCGCATCTCAGAGCATGCCAGCCACTAGCCGGCCCCAGCTCCCAGCCCACCAGCAGGCTCAGCCCAGCGTGCCAAGGTCAGGTCGTGTCTGAGACTGGCCTCACCAACAACCAGTCTCACGTGTCTGAGACTGGTCTCAAGCTATGCCAGCTACTAAGCCTGTCTGACGTGCCCCTCAGTCCGGCTGCCCAAGCGCTCAGCCCAGGCTGGCCAGGCCTTGACCTCCTGCTCGCGTCTGGCCCCAAGTCATTTAGCAGGCCCAGCCCTTTCTCAAAGTATGCCAGCCTGAGACTAGCCTCAGGCCCAGTCCCTCAGCCCGCCTGCTGGCGTGTCTTGCGTGTCCGCGACTGGCCTCAGGCCCAGCCCAGCCAGCAACTTGCCACCCAGCCTCAGGCCCAAGTGTGTATGAAACAGGCCTTGCCCAGCAGCCTCGTGGCTGAGACGAGTGGCACAGCGCCCCGAGATACCGCCCGGTGCCGTGGCAGTGGTGGAGCCTCTTCTCTGCGGTCTCGAAGTCGAAGTACGCGAGGCACTCCCTGCAGCGAGTGGGCCCTCACATGCCTCCCATCTTCCCACACCTCGCACCGGCAGCCGCTCCTGCACAGCCCTCGGCTCGGCCTCCAGCGCATGTTGGTCCACAGCCTGGTCTGCTTCCTGTAAGGAGTCCCGTACTTGGTGGCCGGATTCTCGATGACCCACATGAGCGGGTCGAAGTGCGCCATGATCTCAAGGGCTCTGAGCACCAGCGCGTCGCCCTCCTCAAGTCGTCGAGGGCGCATCGTCAGAGCTCTGCTGTACTCCGTGCAGACCGGGCTGGCCCAGACCATGTCAAAGTGCCCAGGCGGAAACAGCGCGTAGTCTCCGGATGTCGCACAGGATCGTGGGCTCAAATTTCGACACGATGTCCAGGGAGACGACCTTCCAGCCCACCGCCTCGAAGGCTCGGCCAATCGACTTTGTGCCGCAAAACAGCTCCAGCAGTCTCGGCATGTTTAATAATCACCACCAGCACGACGAAGCACGCACAGGCGACGGCGCGGCTCAAGCAGTTTCGCATGCTCGGACCAACCTTTTTTTAATCGGAGACAGAAAAGGATGACGAGCCAGACAAGCATGTGGAACTTGGGGTGCGCTCCAATGCTAAGGGTGGCAAGTTCTTGAGCCTGGAGCCGCTGTTTTGGCAGGGCTTTTTCCGAGGGCCAGCGCCCCAGCGTGAGCTTCGCAACCGAGGCTCTTCTGGGAGCGGGCCGAGACCGATCTGGTCGAGCAGCTGGCGGCCGCGTCCGAGCGCGTCTTCGACGCGAAGCTCACCCGCGAGGCCGTGCGCCAGCGGCTGCTGCCCTCTGTGAGGCAATCGCGCGGCGGCGATTGGCTGCTGAAGGCCAAGCTGCCTGCCCACGCGCGCTTCTGGAACGCTGGCGGCACGTTTGCGAACCGTCCTGCTGAGCTGGCCCACTGCGCCGCGGGGATCTGCGTGCGGAGCCACCGTCTCGCGAGTGCCCGCTGTAGTTTCTTCCGATGCCGCAGCCGATTTTTGCTCAGTAAAAAAAATCAGAATGGCCACCCACATCCCTGATGCGCTGAAGCGGGGAGCCTCTTTGGAGGAGGTGAGCCGCCTGCATGATGAGCTCACTCGGGGAGGTTTGTCTAACGTGTCTGCGACTGGCCTCAGGCCAACGACCAGTTCTCATCCTGAAGGACCGAAGGATGTGTGTTTAGATGAATCCTTGCTGAAATGAATATTCTTTATGTCCCCTTGTTGGTTTTACAGGGAAACTATCACTATTGAGGATATTTTTCCGGGGTACTTAAGCAAATGGAGGTTTGTATTCCCACCATGTACCTGTCTTGGGCTGAGCAACCGAGCAAGAAATGTATGTCATGGCAAGCCGCCAGCCCCGTGAAATGGAGGTGCCCAAACACCCAAAGTTGGTCTTGGTTGTTCAGTGACACCAATTATTGTTCCCCTTTTTATGGAGGCCAAGCCCCACTAAAAATGCTCATCCCCAGAAAGAGGTCCTTTTTTTTCCAAGGGCACTGAGCAGCTGCGATAGTCTTGGTTTTGGATTTCAAACCTTCCGAGCAGGACGGCTTCCGAACATCGAACTAGCACGGGCGAACTGGTGCGGTCACAAGCTTTCAGTAGGATTCGGACCTTCCCAACACTGGATTTCGGTGTTCCTGACCCTTCCCTCAAACTAGGCTGGGCCGAGGCGGGCAACGCGAAGCGTTTACAATAATTGGTCTGATTAGGTGCTCCGGATTTATCCAGAGTTGACATGTTGCCAGGAATTTGCTGATTCATGCTTGCCGTCTTTTCTGATTTCTGGAATGCCAACCCTTGAGACTATGAAAGGAGCTAGCATTGGAAACAGTATTGGCAATAACTTTGGTAAAATGAGATTGCTCTTGGTCAGTAACGTCTTCAACCAGAGCAGGTTCTGGTAGGTGGCAAGAAATTAATTCACACGGGTCTTTTGGCTAAAGTAGTATTGGCTGGCAGTTGGCCGGAAAAATCGAACATCTTTCAGAGGGGGCTTGTTAACGTGCCGACATCAGTACCGTAGATAGGGATGTTCCAAGCTTTGCCTTTGGACGGTTTCCGTTGGCTTCCCGAAAAAGTCGGCCCCGATTGCCTCGCCTCGCCGGGAATGCGAGGAGTGCGCAGCCGGGAAGCCAGAGCCTTGCAGAGCCAGAGTGGGCCCCGGGTGATTGAGGGCTCTTGTGGGAAATGGAGTGAGTCCCCCGGTTTTGAGTCTGGTTTGAGTTCATGAGCCCCCTTAGCTTGCAGGAAAACTGGCGACTCTTCTGCCCTTTTGTTTTTCTATCTGTTATAGGGAAACAAAGAGAAAACGGGAAACCAGAAAACAGGCCCAGAAAGGGAGACAAACTCAGGTACACAAACGTCGGCAAAAAATACGCTCTGAGATCGCGACAGAAGCAGAGTCACGCTGATGGCTGTACACAACTGGGTGGCTTTGTAGTCCTGTCTCGGTCTACTTGAGGCCCTTGGACTCGAAAGCGAAGCTCCCACGCCCGACTCGAAATTGCGGTCTCGCAATGCGGCTGCCACAACAACAAGCACTCCGGTTCAGTGCAGAAATCCACACGACTCGGCATCCCCATCAATTCCCGGCGTCCTCCTGGTCCAAGTAACCTCGACCAGCCTCAGCATAGCCCAATCCACGCTCCAAGGGCATGAAACACGGTACGCTGGCGTTATGGAGGTGATGCAACACCGCAAAAACAAATACCACCTTCCCTGCGAAGACCTGAAGATGCCATCTCTCGCTCACTCACTCTCTCTCTCTCTCTCTCTCTGTGTCTCCAGATGTGCTTGTGAACGGACTCCTCAAATATGGTTGGCTTCCCTTGGCGTCTTGCTGCTGTCCAACCCTGACCCCTCTCTGCCTCTTTCAAGAGCTCCCGCGACCGTAGGCGGACCCGTAAAGGGCCCAGGTTCGCATCCTTCAAAAGCTTCCGCCGACGTACCGTGCTTTTTGGGAGGGGCGGTCACAAACAACTCCTCATTTATGTGCTTTTGAAAAAAAGCTGGCCTACCACCCCTGGAGTGTTTGCCGGGGTAGTTTCCATGTGGGACGGGCTTCAACCAACCTGTAGAAAGAAGGACTCGGATTTCAACGCGAGGAAGACGACTTGACTCAGCCATCGCAGACCCTACAAGATCAGCCGAACTACAGGGTTTTGAAGCAGGAAACAGGAGCCACAAAATTCACCAACTCCTCCGCATCGCGAGAATCGAACACGACTCCGATGCCACGTGCCTCTCTCCACTGCCCCATCACCGTCCAAATGCACGCCTTGCCAGGTGCCAATTCTGAGGACTCCGGGCCTTTCAAAATTTGGAGGGGACATCTTTCTTGAGGGTACCCTTTTCTTGGATGGGCCAAGAAGGAAACCAAAAGGAGCACCATCCATGCCCTTTGTGTTGACACACTCGCTATCCTTCAAAAGACTATGCCTTTCCCTTTTGGTCATTCACGAAGCTGCCACATTCTTCAGCGTGTTTTTCGGGGTTGTACCCAGCGTACGTTGGGAGCAGGGAAGGTCTTGAAACTGCGAAAACCGACCGATCGCCTTAAGGGAATCCCAGCTCCGGCGCGCAGGCTGGCGCAGGAAGATGCAGATCTTTGGCCTCAGAGTCCGCCCCCCGAAAATTGACGGTTTCAGGTGAACGGCGCCCGTCCCATGTCAATGTAGACTATGTCTTTCTTAGGAAATTGGGGCAAAACCTCATGTCCCAGCTCTGCTAGTTCCCACCACCGTTGAAAAACCTCCAGGGTCGCCTGCGCCAACTGGTCTGCTCTCAGTTGCCAACTTCGGCACAGCATTGTAAAGCGCCCGCGGCAACACATCAAGCCTCGGACGCGAGAATCGCACGCAGGGCGAAAAGATGACCCGCGGTCCAAAGAAACACCTTTGCTTACCGAAAAAACACGGGAAATCAATGAGTATTTTGTCCCTCCGGGATTGACCATGACTATTGATATATTGACCATTGATAGATTGACCGAACCTCAAGTCGCAAACATGCAGAAGTCGCCTCTCTATATGCATTGGCTCAGGTTTTCATGTCCACAGTCAATTGTGCTTGTACGACCAAAATCATTCTCACAACGCTGCCATTTCATTGCCGACATCGGGGCGAGCACCGGAATCAACTGAATCTGTGTGAAAATGTTTAACCCCTTTGTGGATGAATAGAAGCCAAAAGGAAACCAATCATCGTAAGGGGAGCCTTTCCTAGATAGTATTGAAAGAGAAAACCAATTACTCGTACGCATATCAAGACGTCGGGTCTGCTTTGAACCGGGAGCGAGATGTTCTATTGGTGGAAAAACGGATTGCCCCTCCCCCCTTTTGGTTGGCAAACAGGATTCTGCCCTTTTTGGTTTAAGCAAACCAAAAAGAGCAGTCCCAGCTTTGACACCTGACCGCCCGGCTGCGTGATGTCCACATGCTGACCGCTCATCTCCGCGACATCCTCAATGCAAAGCCATACACTTCGGGGTTTGAAAGTAAACAACAAGGAGATTCTATAGAATAGGTATTTTGAGATTCCGTGTTAATCTGCTGGAGAGCAACCCCCAGAAGCAGACACAAAAATAAACCGTTTCCAATGGAAACCGGGCTCCTTTGAACTGTCTGTGAGAGGGTAGTATTGACACACTCTTACATCTTGTGGATCTAGTGCCTGGAAGCCGAAAAATTACGTGGGGATCGACACGCTTGAAACTGCGCCCAGGGCCCCAAATCCCTTGACCATTGCAACTTGCAAAACCCAAAATGCCCCAAAACAAACAACAAACAAAAACTACGCGCGCCGTGTTCAAAGCTCGTAATGCCAAGATTCAGAAATGAAAGACTAATGACTCCTATCAACCTCTGATCCTCAATCGTGACTGGGTGTTCTTTGTTGATGTGCCATCAAGGGATACCAACTCAAAAAACAAAACATGGGGGATTCACAAACTCGGGTCAGGAAGTGGCGTTAAGAATGGGCGAACGAAGTGTCCAGTCCTCCCAAAGATCGATGAGCCCTGTCGCGCTTTTCTTGGTGTTTGCTGGCCTCAAAAGGCAACACGTGGTGTTGGCTCATTGTGACAGGGACATGGGCGATGCCCCCGCACTTTCTCATGACAACCAAAACTGTGTTTTTCCCCGGGTTCTAGCTGCATCATCGTCCAGCCCTTGCGCAGCCACAGGTGCCGACATTGAAACAAGCGACAAGCGAGTAAGGACGCGGCAGCCTGTCTATTATTCTACCTGCGCAGCAACTCGTCTGCGCGCGAGCACCAAAACCTCTGTGCTGGTTGCATGTCCTTGCACCTTGCGCCTTGCACAAGCACAAAGATGTCTGGCCTTTGCGTCTCAAAGCAGTCCTGCGGGGCAAAAAATGTGTTTCCCTACTTGGGCGCGCTCAACACTTCGAGATGGATGAATTGCGCCGCTAGGACTGCCCTTCTTCAGACATCCCCCATGGCCAAGACCCCTTTCTCCCATGCTACCTGCGTCGACCCCGACCACGAAGGCGTTGGTTGGAGCTTCGTGCGTGACAGGTGCCACCACAAGATTGTGACCCAGTTGCGCGAGCTAACCGTTTGCTGCAAATAGCCGCGTTGATGACTGGGAGTGCCACACAAACAAAGGACCACAAACCGCCAGAGTTGGGTCTGACGGTTGGGCCGACGCAGATTGCCTGAGCAGGGTCAAGATGGCAGGAACCGCGAGATCCCACCGCGCGCCAGAAGGCTTGCCCAGTGCAAAACTCAGCTCTTTGACAGACCTTCTCTGGAGGACACGTCCCATCCGTCATCTTGATGGCCACACATGTTCTTGCTGGGAGGGACCCGCAGCAAGACCACCTGTGAGTCCGGCTGATCCACCTCCATGTACACCGTGTCCGAAGTGGCTGGGGCAGGACTTCTGTGCTACCCAAGTCAAAAACCACTGCCCAACCCTCTGCTGTCCCAGCCACCCTGCTGGGAGGGGTTTGAGCTGGTCAAGACTCCTCATGTGGGGCATGGTCATGTTTTCGTTGCTAGAACCCTTGCAATGGTTGTCTGAAATACTTACTAAAGTTCGCATGACCATCCGTACAAACCCCAAATAAGAAAGCCTTGGAACAAGCGAAACAGGACAATTGGTTGGGCTCCCAGTATTTGTGTAAAATTTAAGCAACCCCTGTCCGCGCCACACCAACAGTAGGCTACCACCAAATATGGTTGAGTATGCTATTGTTTGGTTCGTGATTACAGCCAGCGTCCAAATATGCCATTGCCGCAAAGGACAAAAGACATATCCCCGGAACATTTAGCGAGTGGACCATGGGCTGAAATCTCAACCTTTTTGCCAAGATCCAAAAGGGTGCTAGACACCCTGCCTGCCAGTGTGCTTGGGTCCACTCCTCAGCGATGACGCATGCACAACTTGGCGAACGTGCTGCCCCAAAAAAGCTAAAGTGATGCCCAGGTAGCTTTTGGGTCTAACTTGGCCTCCTTGAATGCTGGGCCCTTGAATAAATGCATGCATGCATGCGTGCATGCATTGGCTAAGGTAGCTTCACGGGTGAGATCGCTATGATTTGCTGGGCCCATGGTGCTTGAACATGCACGAATATCTGTATCCAGAATTAATGTGCCTTCTACACGCTTGAGGCAAGTCGCGGCAGGCACTTGCCCACTATCTTGCGGACTCTTTTGAGAGGCACATAGCGCCTGAGCCAAAGAATTCAGGACGCCCGTTCCTCCATTCCGGGGAGGGGGAGGGGGGTGGGGGGCGGTGAGCCCAGGATTCGCTGCATGCATGCCATTTCTCAGGCATATGCTGGGGCCCAAAGATGCTTGATCCACTGCTCTCATTTCACAGGCAAGGGGCATGGTGCATGCCAGCATCCGAGAAAGCACCTCAGCCGCGAGAGCAAAGCCGCAGGCTTATGGCTGGAAAGATGTCTTTGCAGCTTGGCCCATCTCATTCGGCCAGGAAGCAGCTTTGCAACGCTGCCACATCCTCCTCCACCTAGCGCGTCAAACGTGCTGATGCTACATGCATCTTGGCACAAGCGATCGCAACGTGCCTCGGCATGGCAGCTTCGGGCGCCGAAAGCTCCATCTCCATCTCCGGGCGCCGGCCCTTGGGGCTGTCGCCCCTCCTCGGGCTGGCGCCAGGACTGGCGCTGGGACTGGCGCCGGGGCTCCTGGCAACGCAATCCATCTGGCTCAAGCGTCCTTCAATTCCTAACGCAAAAGGCGTGTGGCATATCTCATGCCTTAGGTCACCCCGCCTCCCAGGGCTGCCACTCCCAGGGCTCCGCGGACTGCGCGCGGAGCGCCCGTCCTTTCGCACCGCCATATCCACCCGCGCCCCGTCGGCCAGGCGCGCGAAGCGGGGCACGGCAACCGCGTTCGCCCGGGGCGAGTGCGCCGACCGAGGGCTGCCAGACCGCCCGGGGCTCCTCGGACTGCCGTCGCGGGGAGAGCCCCGCAGCAGCGACGTCACCGACGCCAAGTTCTTCTTCAACCTTGGACTTAGACCGTGAAAAAGTGAACACTGTTGGTTCAAAGCCAAAGTCAAGGAAAGCTAAAAGGGCAACAGAGCAAAAGGGTTAGTTGAAGTCCGGCAATGAAACTTCACCGGCGCCAACCGCGGAGACGCGCGCTCGGACCGCTCGCCAGAAGTGGGGCTGCGCATTCGGGGGCTGGACCGACCCGGACTGCGGCCCGAGCGCGGGCTGCGGCCGGAACGTGGGCTGCGGGGGCTTGATGCGGCACTGGGCGGCCCTTCTGTGTCCTCCTCCTTCTGCCAGAGTCCCAGGGCACGCAGTACTCCACAAACCAGGTACCTTATGAACAGAGACGGACACAAGATCGATTGATGCAAGCTTGGCTGTCCCTTTGCCGAGCCGGGTGCTCTTCAGCGCGCGAGTCCTGGCGACACGAAGCGCAAAGCATCGCAAGGCACAGAAAACTCGAAAGCAAGCGAGTTGAGGAAAGCCAGCTTGCAATGTCGATCTAGAGCAGGGAGTCCAAAGCTCTGTGAGTCTCATGTTTTGATCAAATGAAACTGTGCCTCTCACAGGTGTCCAACTATTGATGTAAATTCAAACGTAAATAGCAACTCTGATCTCAGCTCAGAGGTATCTGTCCTCGAAGTGGAGCAGAGGATCACGGGAAATTCGCGCCAGGATGCGTCCCAAGAAGTGGGGCGGGTTCCCCAAATGGGAGGGCTGCCTAGCATGCTCATGCCACCACATGCACCCGGCACGTCAGAAAAAGCAGCTGGGCCGCTTGCCTGCGGCTGCCCAAGAGCCACATCCAAGTACACAGCACATAAAACTCCGCAGTCACCTGGGCCCACGCTGCTGGACGTTCCCCCCCCCCCCCAACGCAATTATGTGGAAGTGGCAAGCCACTTGGACCGGCGATTGCGAGATGTGTCAGCACGCTTCCAAGCCACCACAACATCATAAGTCACACACCACAAACCAGAAACGCAATGAACCGAGTCATGGGTGAGCTGCGAGCTCGTTCTCCTCAGATCGGTTTCCCCGCACGGCCAGAAAAAAACGCATCCAAACCGTTGGGGTCGCTGCGGCACAAAGCAAGGCAAGCGCCATGGGGATGAAATCTGGCCGGGCGCACGGGGAGCTCGAGCTGGCATATCTATTTATGCTCTTCCAGCCGATGATTAACAAAAAATATAAACAAAAGGTGGACCTGACCAAAATTATTGTAGTTGGGACAAGGCCTCCCTGCCCCCACTCATCTGGTACCCTCTTTCGAACAATGTAAGTGTGGGCAAATCTTCTTGATATGTCCTTTGCTTTTCCATCGTTGCAGCCCCTCAAGCTGATGGGATCAACTACCTCTCCAAGGGCCCCACAAAGGTTCTCAGAAGAAAGGCCCTGCTGTCTCTCCTTGCCAGGACCTACTCCGCAAGCAGCGTATGGCCAAACAAATCGGCTTCTTTTTCTGGTTGAACTTCTGAAGCGTTCCCAAAGAGGGGAACCCTTGTTGTGTTCGCCTCGGGTCTGTTTTTCAACCTTCTTCTTTAGGGAACTGGTTAGGGTTTGAGCCAATTCGACTCGGTACGTCCACGACACCCCCGGAACCCCCCAGTTGCCAACTAGCAAAGCAGCTCTCCGGCCTGCATCTGTAGACACACCCGCCGGTGGGGCCAGCCTAATGCTCTCGATTCAACCAGCGTCTAAGAACTCAGACCCCCCCAGTGGCCACGGGAAAAGATTGGCACCCCGTTTTTCTGCAGGGGATGTCGAAGCGACACCTGTCGAAGAAAAAGGCCAAAACGAGAACTACTGGAGGTCTGGGGAAAAATGCGGCGCATGGGCACGGGAAAAGAGGCACATCTGTTTTGTGGGATTTGTGCGGCCTTGAAATGGAAAAATGCGTGGGCCTCCTTGCTGGGGCTCCATTTCCCCCGAAACTGAACACAGGCCCACAGCTTTCGGACATAGCCAAGGCACAGAATGGTCGCCACGAAGGGAATCAACCTGAGGCTGCCCATCCGTCTCAATGGTACCGTGGAAGGACGTGTCAAGCCAATGTGTGTGTGGCAACCTGTTTGGAACACGTGTCAGGGTTCAACAATGGAAATTGACTATCCGGATATCCGTGTTGAGAAACACAGATCACAGGCATCTGCCAGCGCGCCGGACAAGCTGAAAATCGTGCTGATGATGAATACATGGCCACCCCTCATGGTACACGATACCCCAGGCTTCTTTTTGGCACACCTGCTATCACAGTCAAAAGCTTGTGTTCCTGGTGTCTACCCCGCTTCGCTTTCCAACTAACCAACAGCTACCCCTCCCTTCCACAAACACCCTTTGTTGCGGAAATGGTAATTTCGGGCCCCACCAAATGCCGTGTGGGGTGTGTGCTGAAATAGGGGGACCCTCAAGATGGTGTTTTTGTGTCTCTCAGAACCCAAAGAAGGGTACCGAGCCTGAAAAACACGCAGCCTTCACGCGCCTCGCAGGCCAAGCCGAGGCAGCCCGGAGCAGGATGCTGAGCACCAGCTCCTTCAGTCAAATAGGGTGGGGCTTTGGATTTCCCAGACCAAGAAACCATGATGGACCGATGTACTGAAAAACCTTTGAACGGCCTTGGAGAAGCAGGCGTGATCCTTCCACAGACGCTCCGTAAGGACGCCTGCTGGGCTGGAGTGGATAGGAGCTGGATGCTTGACATCAAGCACCAAAGGTGGCCAGAAAGGACATGAGGCATGGCTGTGGAAAATAAAGGGGGCCCAAAAAGGGTTCCACATTTATGTTTGGGCAACTCTCCGTGGTTGTGGCAAGTTGTTGCCAGGCTCTTTCTGTGAAGCTAAAGTGATTGATTCCAATCCAGCCATGTCTAATGCTTCACAAGCAAAGAAGATTCCTTTGGCCGCTCGATAATCAGTGGCCCTCAACCCGACTTCTCATGGGTCGGTCGACTGAAACACCAATTAGGGTATACCTCACTCTGGGGTGGTTACTGGCTATCACTAGTTTCAAGGAAAAAACAAATGCCTGGGTGCGTAGTGCGGCAGCTCCATTCGTGCGAATTGCGCGTGCTAATGCTTGTCTGTCTGGAGTTCAAGTGGACCCATGGCGGAGCTCGGAAGTTGATTCCGATTCCCCATTCTTTTCAGCTGTTCTGGAGCTCAATGTGGCCCGTTCTTCATCTCAACGTAGAACTTCGAGTACTCACTTTCTGCCGTCATAATTTTGGGGCCCCTTCTTGGTATACACTCTTGAAAGCGGCACAACCGCACGGGCCCAAAAAGAGGCCCCTCCCCTCCAACGTGCCCGTCTGCATCCAAGTGTCCAAGCCAGTCACCACTAGCAGGCGCCAAGCCTACCGAATGAGGCGAATCAACTGAACGAACCAAGCATTCCTCCAGCGCCTGCGCTATCAGACCCAAGTTGCCCACGATCACCTCGGAAGCGTTCCACAACTATTCTCAAGTGAGCAACCTCAGCAATCCAAGCTGGCTGTCAGAAGCAACTCTCAATTCCCTTCCCGAGGTTCTGCAATCACAAAGTCCAAACTGCCATCTCTATGCGGCGTAGTCGCGCGGAACATGTTCGTATTCCCGTGGCAAAACTCCAACGACGGCGACCGTTGGGAACCCCCGCCCGGCTTACTAACGCTGAGAGAACTAGTCCCTTGCCTCGACTTTGGACATTGCACCCAAATCCTGACATGCGTCTGATCGGGAAAAAATGGCGGATGCATCGGATGCCCAAGAGAAAGTCAGCTCTCGGTTAGGACCATCCCCTCAGGTCCAGAAGCCGACCCTGAGACCCCGGCCGCTTGCCTGGCCGCGGCCAGGCGCGCAGCCAGGTCTGAAGACATCAGAATGTAGCCTGCAAGGCTCCAGGGAGCCAAGGATTCGATGGCTTTGGAGCATGGGGCTCCAAACAGGGGGCGTGATTCTGACCCGCGAGTTGAAACCATCTCTGGTTGTGGGAAATGGTTGCAAGGAAGTTCTTTTGATACCAAAGTGGTTGATTCCCATCCAACCATGACTATTCAATCACTTCAAAAGGAATTATGTGGCGAAATCTAACTGTTTCCCAACCATGCCCCAAGAATTAGCCAGAGCTTGCCAGAGTTTATGATTCACCTGATGAAAATTCGGAATACTTCCACCTACCATGGCAGGGTGGGGACCACAGAGGTTGCAGTCAATCTAGCAACCATGGCAACCACCACCATGGCAACCACCACCACCACCAAGGGGTGTGACTTCCCCTGCAAATTACTCAGCGAGCATGCGGATTTGCTCCAAGCAACAGAACGAGGTCGTGGTGTACGTCATCGATGCGGCAGCCTGAACATCAGCAGTTCCAATCGAGAGCCATGTGATCAGGTCAACATAGGGTCTCAAAATTAGGAAACATGCCAAAAGTTGATGGCTTCTTCTGCACAGGATGATTTTGACACCCCTCCACACCTGGGTATCGAGGCCATTGGCCAGGGCTGACTGGGGGTGAATTCAAGAAAGGCGGCGGTCAAACAGGCTCCACATAAAGAATCCCAGGATGCAAGCACCACTTGAAATAATCAAAGCATGGAATCGCGACAAATCGTCACCTGTCCCCCCGAACAACTTGACTGACAGGCCAATTGATCTGCCACCTCTTGTGATTGCCCACGATTGATATTTCGGGGTGCATGACCGTCCCTACCAATTTCAAGAGTGTTTGGACAGAGAGTCATCCTCTTGCCGAGGCTTGCTCTGTTCGAGATTGGAGGGGGGACAACCGGTTCAGGAGAACGTGTTTCCGTCCAAGGCTTGCCGCAACCAGGCTTGCCCCCAAAGCGTTCGGACTGTTGCGCAGTTCTTGGACTCTTGGATGTGTGCAGGGGTTGAAACCAGCAACTGAAAATCCAAAACGTTGGTGCGCCCGTTTCAGGGCTTGGCTTCAGTGAACATTGTGTAAAAGTTATTTCGTCATACCGAGCATTATCACTTCTCTTGACTTGGGCATGTGGTTGAGACGTCCCTAGTTTTGATATCACATGTGCAGCTCTTTACTCCCTCTTGCACGATGTTGACGGCTGGCACGGTGTTCAGTCTAACTACGCATGTTGTTCTTTCTTGCAAACGGCCACTTTGCACATTGGTGTCAGTTCCAACATCTCCACCCCAGTGCGTTTAGCATTGACTGACCCTGGGAACAGTGAGTACTCTGCTCTTTGCAGACCGCTGGTTTGATGGGTTGCCACGCTGTGAGATCATCCGGCCACCAGTTTCGCAGCTGCTGGCGTTTGGCAGATGTGACTGTTACTGTTGCACATGACAGATCCTGTTCATGGTGGCGCATGCCTGCTGTTTCCAAGCTGGTTTGCAAATCAATGGACAGATATTGTGGACAGGTTTTCGCATACCACCAGCATCGCCAGCCTCACCAGCATCAGCAGCTATCGTCACCAGCATCACTAGCTATCGTCGCCAGCATCACCAGCTGCCATCACTGGCTGCAGGACTAGCACCACTAACATCCCCAGCATCATTTGGCATTATCCCCCAGTGCTGCAGGCTAATGGTCGGGATGTCCGAACAAACCGACATGAGCTCGTCGACTTGAGAAGCCGACCATCACCCCAGTGGCTGCCGAGGAGTGGATGGCCACCCGCATCTCAGGATGCGTCGCATGAAGCGAAACAAATTTCTACAATGGTCTTCCCAAAATACATACCCTCTAAATCGTGACTGTATAGTGTGTATGAATTAAACCTGTGAGTGATTTGGGGCAGTGGAAACACTCTTGGATTGGCGCACAGAAACATGGGTATGTCCGCAGATTGGAGCACCGGGAGTCCCTCACAGGAAGGTGCTTTTCCCTTTAAGTCCAAGAGGGGTAATGTTGACAACCAAAGCCCAACTCACTCTGAGCCTCCCACTGGCAGGCTTGAAATGGCCACCTCGAAAAGCTGCGCTGCGAGCAGCTTCTGCTTTTGCCATCTGTTTTGCCGAAGTGGAGGAAAAACAGACCAAGCGGCTGTGTGGAAAAAACACAAATTATCGGCAAACCAAGGCCTTCGCCAGCTGGGTACATTGAAGTCTCAAGTGGTTTGAAGGGAACCTCCGGGACCCGAAAACAATTGGGTGCGGTTTTATTTGGGGATTTTTTTGTTGTTTTATTGTTTTTGTTTTTTGTGTTTTTCAGTTCTTTGTTCAACATCCCCCGCATGTCCAACCAACATCCCTAGCATCACCAATAGATCGTGGATCACAAAATCTAAAAAGTGGCTGGCGGATTGACGGGGTCGAAAAAAAGATAATTCAAATAGGGGGGCAGCAGCCCCCCCATGATGTTCGCAGAAGTGATGATTCGAATAGGGGTGCAATTAAATCTCTGCGAAAAGTCTAAAAAGCAGCGTGATGTTCGAACAAGTCATGATTCAAATAGGGGTGCAATGATTCAAGAAAGGGTGCGATAGAATATACAAAGCAGCGGGAGGATTGGCGGGGGTGGCTTCCCCTATGATTTCGAAGAAGGGCATACATACAAACATACATAGATTAGGTAGATTACATAGATTACATAAAATGTCGTATTTTACAGTATCTTCTCGCTTGAAAAAGTGATGCACCAAATAGGGGTGCAATTAAATCTCTGCAAGAAATCTAAAAGTAGCGGGAGTTGGGGGGGAGGCGGCAGCCCCCGCCCATGATGTTTGAAGAAGTGATGATTCAAACAGGGGTCCGCTGGCTTATGCGGCTTTTGGTGGCTTTGGCTTTTCGCATCCTCTGCTTTGCCAGTTTCAATAGTTTTTGGCTTTGGCTTCCCGCATCCTCAGCATCACCTATTTGAATCATCACTTCGTCGAGCATCATAACCAAGAAGCCAAGAAGCCGAAAAGCCAAGAAGCCAAGAAGCCAAGAAGCCGAAAAGCCAAGAAGCCAAGAAGCCAAAAGCGAAAAAAACAACAACAAAAAAGAAGAAAACAAAAACATACCCCTCCAAAGCAATTTGAGCACCCCCAAAATCCCAAAACGCCTCAGTCAACTTTTAACATCTCTGCCTGCAATCCCCACAGCAGTCTGACGGCGATGACGGTGAGCGACCTCAGTCGTTTGCGAATCCACATGAACGTGTCCAAGGACTCGGACCCAGCAAATGGTTGGCTTTCTTTAGGAATTGAAAACAAACCAAAAGGGGAGGTCCATCTCCAACTCTCTGCCAAGGCGCTGGACAAACTCCCAGAGGGGCAGTGTGGTGATGACCTGGCACACTGAAAAGCACTCTGCACCCTGCCTGGCGTGCAGGAAAACTAAGGATTCCACGTACTCGTATGCCATTGGCCTCGGAAAAATACGCCACCAACTATCAGTGCAGATTCTGAGTCGAGAGACTGTGGATGATAGTCACTAAACTGGACCCACATGCCAAGAGTTTCATGGTTGGAATTTCGAATCCAAAAGTCTGCCCCTGACGTCAGTTAATGTCTCAGGGCTGAACCACCCCTGAATAGCTGCCGCTGATATACACCCCATGCATGTAGAATTAGGCAATGGGTATCTAAGAGTATGTATAGGAGCACGTACCCGAAGAACATAGTTCAGCCCTCATCTGTCAGAGGCCATTGCTTGATGACATTCGCGTCGGACCCCAGAAGGAGCGTAATGGTCGTGGCAAAGTCGACCTGCGCATGTTTCGGAAGGTCAAAAGGCCCGTTTTGCTTGTGTCAACCGGGTGCCCTGATCAAGAAAGATGGGTGTTGTTTTGGGGTTAGTTCTGGGGGCCTCAACGGGAACAGGGGGACGCCACCCATTTGAGATACAGCCATAAATATAGCCCTCGCCAGTCTCCCAAGGAACCAACCCTATCTGAGCGCCGCACCAGCAGGAAGTGGACGATGATCCAGTCCTCAAGCAAAACGACCCCAATCACCTCAAATAACTTCAAAAACGCAACTTGTTCTGTAGAAGGGGAAACCAAAAGCCAAACCTTTGCATGACCAATGCGAGATGCGGAGAATCCAAGTGCGGGTATCCTGCCCCAACATGGGCGAATTCTCATGCCATCCGGTTTACTTCGAAACCAGCCCAACAATGGGGTCTCCCCTTGAGAAGTCCCTCAAGGGACATAGGAAAGTTCGGGAGTCCCATTCTCTTTTTGGGGAAGTGTGAGTGAGTGAGTCCTCTGGTTTATGAGGGAAATTGAAGTAGCCAGTCTGAGACGAAAGTTTTGCGAGTCCGTTGTCCCTTCCAAATGGAACACAGACAAACGGCCCCAGTCAATACATACTCGTAGTGTTCAGTGACATTGGATTTCACTGAGTACCGCATTTCCTGGTGAGCGTGCCCAATGTCATCCCCTTTGCTACAATGATATGAATATTGAACGTTGCTCATTAAAGGGCACCCGTTCTTCTGGTTTAAAGGGAAACCAAGAAGAATAACCACCATTTTGAGGGTCCCCTAAACGAGACGCTCCCATGTTGACCAAAACCTGACCGAGCCAGGGCACTCCGAGCAGCATGATGCATCTCACCAGAATCTCCCCGCACGCGTAGACTAGCACTCGTGGGCGCGTGCTGGCCTCGGCCGCGAAAAACGGAGTCGGCAAATGGGCTTGGCATTTCCTTGGACATGGACCTGTTCTCTGAACATCAATCATTGCCGGATCTATTTGCTCTTCATACGATAGTAGTGTGTTGAACGAATGACATCGAAGATCAAAAACACTAACCCAAAATGGTAGGGCGTATGTCCACAAACCCTCTTTGAGGGTGGTTCAAGCTAAGAATCACAGCTAAATCTTGTGGTTTTGGGTCTTGTGAGGATCCGGCCCGTGCGACGCCCTTCTGAAAGCAAGTGCATCTACCCCAGCACTCTAGTCTGTGTGTACTGATGCCTCTATCTGGGGTCCCCTTGAAAAGAGTTCCACAGTTGGATTCCACGATTGGGGTGTCTAGAATGTTGTCTTGAATCATGGTCTGGCGAGTCTTGGGGTTTCAAACTCTTCATCTTCACCTTTCCCTTGGATCTTGCCTTCGAAAACTCGCTCCCAAAAAACACACGCACAAACACACTGACACAACCTCCTCTTGGCTTTCCTTAGGCTCTTCAAACCTTTCGGGCTCCTCCCCCCTCCACCCCCCCCCCTCCCGCTGGGGCCAAAGGCCCTGCTCCGGATCAGCGCCTCAAAGCCCAGCACCCGCAGCAGGGCCCGGTGCACCCCTGGCACGAGTCGCATTATTCGATCAAAGTCAGCCGAAAAGAGGGTGAAAGAAAGTTCCGGGCCAAGGGTATTTTGAGAAGAAGCCAAAAAAGGGCAAGGATTGAAACGCAACCCATGTCGAGTGTTGGGGCAGAGGGACCAAGAGATTGTCGTCCTGAAACTTGGAACTGCCAGGTGATGTGAGCCACTGCAAAGGAAGAAGCTGACACGCTCTCCAACTGCCATCTTTGGCAAATGGGGACCCTGGTTTCTTTCCAAGCCCAAAGCAGCTCTTTGAGCTCCATTGTGCCTTTGGTCCAAAACACCTGCTGGTCCCGATCAAAGCCACCAATTCCCTCTTGGCGATGCTCGAGCTCCGGGATTCAAACCTGGGCTCTTGAGCAGGGCACCAGATCCCCAAATCCAAAGAGTCACTGCCACTCCACATACGGATATTAGGTATTTTGGTGGGGGTTTCGCTCCTAGCGATGTAGTGCGTGATGAGAATGTTCTGGGTCTCGCATGTGAAAGTTTGCATGCTTGCTGAGGCAAATCAAAGGCCCGCTCCCGTCAAGTCCCAGAAACCATAGAGACCATTGGGCCGACCATTCTAAAGCGGGGTTCACCCCGACTGACCGACCAACTGACCAACCGACCGACCGACCAACCAATCCAGCGACCGACAACCAACCAATCAAGCGACTAACCGACCAACTAACCGACCGAGCGACCGACAAACCGACCAACTAACCAACCGACCGACCAACCAAGCGACCGACGGACAGACCGAACCAAAGGGAACCAAATCTCACCAAAACCAACCAAGACCAACTCAAGCCAACAACATCCAACCAAACCGACCTTCGACCTTGCGGCTTGCCTGCAAAGAAGAGCAGCGCGAAGAGGCACACTGGGATCAGCAGCCAACCGGTGCCCACGATCCACCTTGGAAGGGCCTTTGGGTTGAACAAACGCGGTTCTAAATACATGAGTATAACTTTTAGCGGAAATATATGGACAATTATATATGGGTGAGCCCGTTGAACTTTGGAGGACATCATTTACCTGGGGATGTATTTGCAACATGTTTGGAGGAAGTTCCCCATCAAAAAACTTGCTAGATGAAAGGCTCAGGGCTTCCCATCAACAAATGGTGTGTGTGTGTGTGTTTGTTTTTGCGGGTACCCTTTTTTGGTAGTGTTCAAGCGAAACCAAAAGGAAAACCGCCACATCTTTGGGGATCCCCCTAGTTTGACACACAGACACACACACACACAGACACACACACACACACACACACACACACACACACACACACACACACACACACACACACACACACACACACACACACACACACACACACACACACACACACACACACACACACACACACACACACACACACACACACACACACACACACACACACACACACACACACACCACACACACACACGCACGCACGCACGCACGCACGCACGCACGCACGCACATCTGTGTCTTACGAATGTTCAAGAGCTCCTTCCCAAAAGGGCCCTGACCAATTCCCATTGGGGAAAACCAAAAGAACTGACTGATCACAGGGAACTCCAAACAGTTCATTGCGGACTCCACGAGAATTAAGCGGTTGCATGTTGCATTGTCCGGTTTCCCCAAAGGGGACGATTCATGAAACCCGCTCGGCGATTCCCAAACGAAACAGTGCTGCAGGCAGACTCCAACAGGAAAGTTAAATCTGAGCCCTGGATAGTACTACTTGCATCTAGTATTTGTGGGGAAATGTGGGTTGGCCGCCCAAGTCTTCCCGCGTGTTTGCTTGTGTTCATGTCAGACTTGTTCTCCATGCCATGGTCCAAACTCGTGTGCGGGCCATGATCATGGCACGCTTCATAAGAGGTTTGCTGGCTGTCAAGCCACAAATTATTGGATCCGTGAATCCCGGAAAATAGCCCAAGTAATGGAAAACGTTCGACGTGTGGCTGGTGGACAGGAGTCCACAGGAAGAATGTCACAAGTCTGTTGGTCCCTTTTTGAAACCGTTTCACTCGGGGCCCAAGTCAGCTTTACACAGGTTACCAACCGGATCGCAATGTCCTTGAGCAGAACCCGTTTGCACCTGAACGGGTATCTAAACCCCTTGGCTCCCAAAAAAATAAACATCCTTTGACCCAAAGGAAAACAGAATGAGGTTGTCTAGACGACATTTGACCAATCCTGCCCCTAGGCTGGATGTGGGAATCAGGTTGAGTATCCCCTTGACCCTCTGAGTTCTTTCTCCCCCCCCCCGAGCTTGAAACACCATTCGACCTCGAAGTCATGCACATCTGGTTCACACGGTCTAAACACAGGCAAAACATTGTTGGGGGGTTCCACGCCGGTCACATCTCACAATCTTGCAATCTCAGCGAGCCGCGGCAGGGCCGCGGCCGTCAAGAAGAGCCACACCATCATCAGCAGCAAGCCCGGCACGGAAACCTCCAGAAGCTCCCGCCAGTCCTGCAAAGAACCCAAAAATGCGGCAACGTGTTACGAATCGAGCGGTCCGTGGCTTTGCCATTTTGGAGCCCTTTTGCTTTCCCTTCCGGGAAGGGTCAAGCTAGTCCAATCCGCTCCGCTGCCTCTTGCACTGAATACTCACAACGCATCTTGCTCCCTTAGAAGGCTTTCTTAGCGAGGTTCTGGGAACCTTTGCCTCAAACAGGATGGCGGCAGTGATGTCAAAATGCAATCCAAGAGGACCACAGCCCGCCCACCCTGTCCGCCCAGGCATCTGACTTCCAAATGCGACAAAGAACAGCAAGAAGAAGGCATTCGGAGACAAAGATGAGAGGTCCCTCAGCCACATGGAAGCCAGCAATTGTGGCTTGCTTGCTAAGCATTTCCACATGTCATACCTGCCGCAAAGTAGCGGCCACAATAGGTGTTGAGGTCGCCGTCATGATCAGACTGAAGCCTGGCAAGAGCTGAATTGGGGAAATCAGTGCGAGAGAATGCTGGATCCTTTCGATCCGGGCCAACAAACAGCAACGGATCCGAAAGAGGCTTGAAGCATAACGACTCACAACGACTCTCCAGCCTCTGGACAAGAGGCGGCCAAAAGATTCGCCTTCCTGCAGCGTGCTTGACAAGGCCAGCTGTCATGGCGAAACCAGCGGTCCTCGTCAAAGTCGCAGCAAGCCAAGTAGTCACCTGCAGCTTGCTGGCGATTCGGGGGATGCTCCCCTGAAGCAAAGATGTCCCGTTGTTTGGGTGCCACACCCCCCTCCATCAACCAGGGGTTTACTAATCCTGGGTTCCAGTACGTTCGCCGTTGCCCAAAACCCCCCAAAGCCCAGTATTAGCGCTTTGATCCCATACGTCGCCGGAGCATTTCAAAAGGAGGGGGAGGGGGGGGGGAATATCCAAGGTCGCCCGAAAAGGAACACCTGAGCAATAGCAATTTTCTCACTTGTTTAGAGCAGCCCTTCGGGCAAAAGACCCCCGTTTTAGCCGGCGCAATAAGCCGCCATGCAAAAACATTGCTAGAGTTGCGCACCTCAGGTATGCCACCCTTTTACCCTGAGACTAATTCCAAAAGGTGCCCTGTTTTTGGAGGGCACGACACCCTGGACCCAGAATTGGCTCATCTCCTTATGCGTTTCTTGAGGGCATCCTTTTTAGTGTTGGTTTAAAGAAAACACAAAATTGAGAACCCAATCCAACATACATAGCACCTTTGGGAGGGTACCCTGAAGATGACTTTCCTCTTGGGGGGGTACCCTGTGTCAGCTGCCATGTTTGTGGGAGGGAGGGTACCCAATAAAGGGACCCATCAAAACGGTCAGTGTCTTCTGCGTGCAATGAATACGAGACACGCCCAGCCGCTTCGCCCCGCACCTTGCGGCGTTGGGCAGCAGAAGAGCTGCTCCACATCCAGCTGGCTGAAGTGTGTCCTTTTGCACTGACCCCTGGCCACACCCAGGTGACCTGTTGAAATGGGTTCAAACACATGGGATCTAACAAAATGGCTCTAGCATGCGGGTTCCAAACTGTGGGCAAGCGATCGGAACCAGGTTTGGATCCGCCAGAAGAAGTCGCCGAAACAGGGCCGACGATTTTGTCAACTTCTCAGAGTCTTCTGCATTTCGGCTTTCTGTGGCGGATGGACATGCCTCAAAGTGGGGAAGCCCCGTTTGGACGCAATACCAGTGGAAGGCAAATTCCTAGTTGCTATTGTCAGTCAACGACCATGACTGTGACTCCGATCCCCTCCATTCTGGTCCTGCATGAGTGAGCACTGCAACGCGATGCTGCGTAGAGCAACAGCGGAGAGGCAAGTTGTTGCGTGCAGCTTGTCCTGTTAGAGTCCTGACAAAGGAGTCAAGTTTGCTTACACCGTATTAAGTTTTAGTGGGCTTTATTTATGTGAGGTTTTGTCCACCTCCCCTTACAAGATGGTAGCCACACGATATTTGGTCCCCTACCTTACCCATCCTTGACCGATTGAGGTGAAGGGGGAAGGTAACCCTCCACCAGTTCAATCGCCATCACCGTTACTGCGAGAACGGCCTCACGTCGTGTAGTGAGTCAGCTGTACGATTTTGACTTTTGTCGGTCTCTGGCGCGATTTTTGGGGACCTTCAGAATTCGCGTCGAAGCCCAGCAAGCCGATTTCTGCAGACTCACAAGCAGCAACCTTGCTGCGCCTTGAGGAGCAAATGGCTTTGCGCAAAATTAGTCAGCAAGTTTAGCGGGACCAGCGTGGGGTCTTCAGCAGCCATCAGAGAGAAAAAAGCACCAGGCAGTGCACCTCTTGTTCCATGAACCTCGAGTCGACATTTGGCCCTTCACATCTCAGCAGCGCCCAAAACCCCCGTACTACTTGGCTTATGCGGGATTTCAGCGAGACTTCTATGGCCTTTATACTCTTTGGTAGAACCAAGTATCAATAGGCTTTGGGTGCTGTTCATCTCAAGATAGGGGACCCCCAACGCGGCTTGTTTCTCGTTGGTTCCCCTTTGAAATCTTTGAGAGCCCCCCCATATGTTGATGCGCATTTGGAGTGTGGCTCTGACTGTTAATTGCCTCGCATTTTGCCTAGTTGGAAAACTGCTGCAGCAGCGCTGGCTGAAACGTGTGCTATCATGGTCTGCCATTTAGTTTGATCCTCCCGTTGGTTCAATGGTTGATTGTCCGGTTGGATTGGAAGTGGGTAGCAAACTCTACATCGTTCTTCCAGAATGTTGGCTCGGAAAAGTGAAGGAAATCAAGATTCCGGCAACTGTTTTTCGCAAGGAAACCTGGCTCGTCCTGCATCAGCGGATACTCGCAGGCCAAGCACTCGCCGCCAACGCCGGCTGTCCCAACCGGGCATCTCCTGCATGTCCACTAGCAAAAGCTGAGATCAACAGAATCTATCCAAACCCAAGGCAAAGAATCAAAGGGCTTGCCGCAACTATGGTTCTTGACTGTTCCCCTACCTTCATCTACTTGGGCTTTGATTGTGGCTCATATGCAAAGCTTGACGAGAAAAAGTTGGACACAATCTGTACATTGCAGTGAAAGCCGCGCGAAAACTACCTGAAGCAACACAAGCTCAAATGAGGCTGTAAATAAGGGGACCCCTCCCCGAAAAAGAAGAAGAAAAAAAAGCAGCGGTCTTCTTTTGGAGTCCCTTTAAAACCATCCCAGAGAACCCCGCATGAACGCCCAAACAACATTGCTGCGCTGCAATCGAAAAAGGACCAAACCTCGAGCCAAGTCGCTCGCAGCGGGATCTTGAGGCGTCTTGCTGTGTCCCATCCGGACACGCCAGGCACAGCCCGAAATTCCCCGCCGTTTTGTACGGGCACGGCACGCACAAAGCCGAGGTGTTGGTTGCCTGGGTGACAAAAATATAAAGACGGCATGAGAAGCAAAATACGATGAGGATGATGATGATGAGGAGGATGATGATGATGATGAGGATGATGATGATGATGATGATGATGATGATGATGATGATGACGATGATGATGATGATGATGATGATGATGACGATGATGATGATGATGATGATGATGATGATGATGATGATGATGATGATGATGATGATGATGATGATGATGATGATGATGATGATTGTGATGATGAGCAAGAGTAATAGGAATGGAAATAATAAGAGTAAGGGTCATAGTGATAGTAATAGTAACCGTAACAGTAGCAGTAGTAGTAGTAATAGCAATAGTAATATAAAATCAATAGAAACAATAATAACAATACAAATAATAAATGATAATAATAATAGTTCTAATAAGAAACTGGCAACTATTCTTACTAGTGTGAAAATTACTGTTGCTACGATTATTACATGTTTGCTGTTTAACAGCAATCATGCAATAAACATAGTAATTAGAAGTCTAACACTCACAGTAAACAAGAGTGGCCAATCCAATAACAACAATAGTTAATCATGGTTGAAAGCAAACATACTAGCAACAGTAAGAAATAACTATGACCAATAAACAAAAGATTAAAATACATCATCTCCTTTCGGTGTCCCTTTGAAAAAGCCAGAAAAAATCGGCCATGAATCAAAACCCGGCGACGTTGGCGTCTCGCGGCTGGGTGCCATTGGGGCACTGCCCACAGAAGCCCCGAGATCCGAAGAAGCCTTCCGGGCAGTCGGAGCAGACCGAGTGGTCCTCGCTGGCGCCGGTGCCCTGCCGAGACGTTGGCTTTGACATGGGCCCAAACGACGGCTTTCGGTTTTTCCTTTTTGGATTTCCCTTTTTAAGACCCTAAAAAGGGGGAATACTCCTCGAAAAAAGACACACCCAAATGGGTATGGCTCCTCGAAACGAAGGAGTGGCTTGGGCAAAATGGCCAGAACCCCCCAGTTAGGTTCTATGGCACCGTGGCTAGGAGGGTGCGTAAATGCGGATGGCTGCCAGGGCCTGAACATGAACAGCAGCGGCTTGAACATGTTCCCAACAGCCTTCGCTAACACATTGGGGCCTTTGCGCGTAACATGAACCTTCACATTGTGTTTGACTCAAAGGCACATCAAGAGTGCGTTGAAACCCGGCCTCTGGACAAAGGGAGCACAGACCGCCAGTGCCAGCAAAACCAGGAGGGCAGTCCAGGCAAAGCGATCGGTTCTCTGCTGGCATCTGTCCGTCTGGGCAGGTTTCACAAGCCTTGGTGAACATCTGGGCGATCTGTCCCTCGTCGCAGAAGAGGCACACGGAGCGATTTGTGGAGGCGACCATCCCCACGGGGCAAACGGAGCACGTGCCGTTGAGCCCCGCCCTGCCGGGGATGCAGGCGACACATAGCGCGCTCGCAGCATCCGGCTGCTCGCCGGCGGGGCATCTGCTGCACACGCCCAAAGCGCCTGCAAGAGAAGAAATGCGTGGAAGTAACAGCTGGCTTGTACAAAAATCACACAACATAAGGTTCTAAGAACCTGATTTACAGCTAGTTCAACCTGGCCTGCAAAGCCTGGCAGGCACGGCTCGCAAGTCTGCCGGTTCTCGTCTGGCTGCGTTCCCTCGGGACAGGGCGAGCAAAAGCCGCTGGTGCCCGCGGTGCCAGTAGGGCACTCCAGGCAAATAGAGAAATCCACCGAGTTTTGCTGGCCGTCCAGGCACTGGACGCAGATCCCACCTGGGTGTTTCTCAAGATGAGCTTTTTGAGTGGTTTCAGAGGGAAACCAAAGGGTCAAAAAGGAAACAACCCATTTTGGGGTGCCCGAATCCCCTTTGAGAAACGTCCCACCTGTGCCTGCCGCGCCCGACACGCAAGTCCGACACTCTGTGTGGTCCACCGTGGGCTCCGTCCCATCCGGACATGTCTGGCAATCCTCGGAGCCCTGACAGGTCGCAGCCTCCCTCTTGGTTCGGAGGTGCTCCGGGGGTGGTCTCCATTTACCCTCTAGACTCTACAATGGGGCTCAAGTCCCCACAATCTGAACCACCAAGGCGGTCATGAAATAGATTCTGTGAGGTGGAGGTGAAGAGCTTGAACGAGGGAGATAAGCCAGAAGCTCACCTTGAATTGGCCTTTCCCAAAGGTGCTGAAACCCTAGAGAGAATATAGAGAGTTGGAACCCGCCATGTCCGAAAGGTAACAATTTGAACACCTAAACCACCAGAAGGAATGTGGGGACCACCCTGCTTTGAGAACCAAAGGTGATGTTTAAGCGACCGGAAAGAAATGGAATGTATGAAACCCTCAGGCACCGAAAGGAACTAAAGGTGATGCTTGAGCTATAAGGAGAGAACCCTGCCAAAAGCAAACATGGAACCCGAATGCGGCGCCCTTCAAAACCCATTTTCCGGAACCTTAAGGACTCCCCCCCCACCAAATCTTTCATAGACAAATAGGACAGCGTGGAGGTTTTTTTCGGCACCTCTCAAATGTCAACCGTGAACCAAAAAACAAACAGCGAGGATGTTTTTTTCAGAACCATGGGATATCACAGGACCATGGGACCATGGGGTATGCAGAACCATGTCTTTTTCAGAACCATAGGACAGCGAGGATGTCGACTCGCTCACTTTTGCCATGCCTGGCCCGTGGCCGCCGTGGCATCCACGCAGGGCGTGCATCTCGTCTGCCGTGCCAAGGGCTGCGCGGAGCCCCGCGGGCACTGCTGGCAGGCCACCTGGACGGAAACCCGAAGCGCCCGAAGACATCGGACAAGAAACCTGGAAACCTCCCCAACATCCCGAGGAAAACCAAAGAACTTTAAGGAAACCCGACAAAAAGCTACACCAATCCCTATGATTGTTTCAAAGTCAAGACACCGAATGGGCATGAACTTGAATGGGGGACACACTGTACAATTTACCTGAGCAATTGTCCGGCCAAAATCGAACCCCAAGATGGGTGAGTTTCCATGGGTTTCTTCAAACAACTTCAATAAAACACCGCCAAAGCTCGAAGCTCGGGTCCGAAATGCCCTGCCTGCCCGGGTTGTTCCTGGAACTCCCCGGGGCTGCAGTCCCAACAGCTCTGCCCGTCCCCGGCACGGCCGGCATCGCAGGCTGCGCACTGCGTGCCCGTGCTCTGCGTGCCTGCCCGGCTTTCGGAGGGGCGGACGGCAAGTTGACTCCGGAACTCTGCTCCCGGTGGGGAAATGCTTTTCATAGCACGGTCCAACGGAATGCACTCGTGTTGCACCACTGTCAGCATCCCCTGCATCAGGTTACTTGTTTACAACACCCTCAGCATTAGCAATTCTCTTTGGGGTTGGTTCAGGGTGGGTGTTGAGCTTGGTGCAAGTTTGGATGGGCTTAGGGTTTGTTTATGGTGGGTTTGGGGCTGGTTTAGGGTGGGTGTAGAGTTTGTATAGGGCTTGCTTACGGTTTGTTGGGGCCCGCAACCCACCAAGAAGAACACAAATACAAACAAGGTGGAGGTGTTGCTGGTGATGCTGACCAAAACTCGCACAAAAAGTCACAAGAGCCAAAAAGCAAACAAGGAGAAAACCAAAACAACAGAAAAACAATACACAAACATGGCCCTCCTCATTGGTTCAATTGGTCTTTTCACATAACTAGCCGGAATGAGCTGGTTTGGTGGCCGAGTTAGGAATTTGCAGCTTATCGTTTGTGACCAGCCAACCAGACCAACCAACCCATGAACCAACCCATGAACCAACCCACCCAACCCACAAACCAACCCGCCCGACCCAAAAACCTATGTCGGAAATAAAAATAACACACGCAAAAATAAAGTGAAGAACTGATGAGAAATGATGACAAAGGGCAAAAACTACTACGGGGGGTCTTGACATGGAACAACAAGATAAGAGGAATCTCTTGTTGCAAAACGGGCCACCTTTTTGGGGTCCTGCAGGTTAAGCAACATGGGACCTCAAAAAGAAGTGAGCCTCAGAAAGAGGACACCCAGACTGTTCTGCTATGTTCCCTTGTGGCTTTGCTGTGCCTCCGGTGCAGAGCAGGTCGCAGAAGCCCCCAACCCCAGCGCGGCCGGAGGGGCAGGCCTCACACCTGCTGGTGGAGGCTGGCGCTGAGCCGTCCTCACGGCGTTGGCGACCAAAAACCCCCCGAGCAAAGCCCATGAAACCCATGAAACCCATGAAACCTTGCCTCCAAAAAGCAGCAAAAAGCAAGCGGGCTTGAAGCCCAAACTGGTCATGATGCCGAGGATGCTGTCCAACCAACGAACCAACCAATCCACCCACCCAACCCATCGGTCCTGGCACAGGGTGAGGTGGGGCCACACCTCGATCTCAGTGCCCTTGGAGGACAAGATCCGCTGCCGCGCGTCCATGGACAGCACCAGTGCCGGAGAAGACGCCGACCGGGCGATTTGGCTCAAAACCTCCGCGGGGTTTCTGGACGTGCGGCAAACAGCACCCCAAGAATCAGTTGGAGCACTTGAAAAGTGGAATTCCTGAAACGGAGCGGGGTTTGGGTGCCCCTGGTATGAGTTGGGCCAACAACAAAATCCCCTGCTGGGGTTAGAGGCAAACCCACCTCGCCATTTGTGTCGAAGAAGGTGATGTGGAACAAGCTGGTGGCCACCAAGGCTCCAAGAGAGCCCACGTAGGCCAAGGCGTTCACGCCATGGTCCATGGCCCTGACGCCGCCGAACTCCCGCACCTGTGCTTTGAGTCCAAAGACCCAAACGAACCTGGGACTGATTTGGGGGGAAGGGTGCGCCAAAACGCTGGCAGGCGGAAAAAAGGTTCAAAGGCTCCAGGCCGCAAGGAGCTTCATTTTGTCAAATAGCCAAAAGGTGGCGAAGGTGCAACTAAAAACACCAGGTCGCACCTAGTTGAACCAAGTCGCCATCAACCCGGTGTCTGGGTTCCAGGCTCGGATGGTGCCGTCATCTCCCCCAGAGGCCACCAGGCCCTGCTGCGGCAAAAACTCCACGGCCCTCACCGGGCCATCGTGCGCCTTGATCATGTGCTTCAGGGGCACCTCGGCAAGTCGTATTTAGGCATCTGTGCGCGTTGTCAAGGTTTCTCAAAGCAAAACCATTTTTTTGGGCCGAGTTTGACACATCCATTTAGACCACCATGGGTGGGCTTAGCCTGGGTGACTTGGGCACGTCGTTTTGAGGGTAAGCCTGGTGTAGCGTTGAAGTCCCCGCCCAGAACCCGCACCCCCGTTCAGGCCCTTTGTGCGAAAGCGCCCGCGGCCTTAGATCAAGTTGCCTCTCTAGGGAGCCGGGCGGCGCTCCGTGGGCCGGCGCTTTAAGTAATAGGAAACCCACGCGATTGGGCGGCAATACAAGAAGCGGCAAGGGAAGAGATAGAAAAAGTCAGTCGTTCTGTGTCAGGAATGGCGGTTCGCAGCCGGCCGGTCTCCCTCGCTCGGTCGCTTCAGCCCGAAAAACTACCCCTGACAGAAGCCATTAACCCAAATGCAATTAATTGCACGAATCTACCTTGGCGCACGAGCGCCTCTGCCTCTCCATTTGCTTGCCTGTTGACCTATGGACTGTTCTATCCCTTTCATCCTTGTTCCTTTGCGCGCATCTATTATTCTAAGTCTGACTGTCTATCTATCCGTCTTTCCAGCTGGCATCCACCGATCTATCCATTCTATTTGTTCATTCTAGTTTAATCTAGCCTAATCTCAAATTCCATTTGCCCGTCTGTCTGTCTGTCTACCCTCCTATCTATCAATCTAATCTAATATATCTATTCTTTAAAGTTCTAATCTAATCTCATTGAATCTAGTCAGTCTAGCGCTCTCCCTCTCTCTCTCTCGCTATCTATCTATCTATCTATCTATCTATCTATCTATCCATCCATCTATCCATCCATCCATCCATCCATCCATCGATCTATCTATCGATCGATCGATCTAATCTAATCTAATCTAATCTATCTATATATCTATCTATCTATCTATCTATCTATCTATCTATCGATCAATCTATTTATCTATCTATGTCTCTCCCTATCTATCGATCTGTCTATCCATCCATCTAACTACCTAATGTAATCTAGTCTAACCTACTCTATCCAACCAAGTCTAACCTAATCAAACCTAACTTTGTCCATCCACCTATCCAGCTATGTACCTAATCTAACCTGTTGATCTAACCTAATCCAATCTAATAAAATCTTGTCAAATCTAGTCTGGCCTGATTGAAACTAGCTTAGTCTAAGCTACCTATCTTGTCCAGTCTAATCTATCATCCCTCTCTCACTCTCTCTGTCTCTATTCATGGTTGTTTTCTATCTATCTGTCTGCCTGTCTGCCTGCCTGCCTGCCTGCCTGTTTGTCTGTCCTTCTGTATTTGTTTCTGTCTTTCTCTCTTTCTGTGTTTCTTTCTTTGCTTCCTTTTCTCTTCCCTTCCTTTCTTTGCTGTTCTGATACTTTCTTTATTTGTCTTCTGTCTTGTCATGTTGTCTTTCTTTATGTTGTTATGTCTGTCTTTCTTTCTGTCTTTCTTTCTTTCTTTCTTTCTTTCTTTCTTTCTTTCTTTTTTTATTTCTTTATTTCTTTCTTTCTTTCTTTCTTTCTTTCTTTCTTTCTTTCTTTCCTTCCTTCCTTCCTTCCTTCCTTTCTTTCTTTCTTTCTTTCTTTATGTCCTTCCTTTCTCCCTGCCTTCCTTCCTTCCTTTTCTTTACTCCTTTCTTCCTTTCTTCCTTTCTTCCTTTCTTCCTTTCTGCCTTTCTTCCTTTCTTTCTCTTGTTCTATTGTTTTTTCTTTCTGTCTTTCTTTCTTTCCTTCGTTCTCTTTATCTTTTCGTTCTACCCATCTATCGAATCTATCAGTATATGAATGCATCTGTGCATATCCTATCTATTTTCCTCCTTCCATGCGAACGCTTGCGCTTGCGAGCGCTTGCGAACGCTTGCGAACGCTTGCGAACGCTTGCAAACCCCAGACCCCTCTCTATAACGGGAACCATTCTTCCACGCACCCATATAGCCAATATCAATCGAGTTGGCATGAATAGGCTATCCATGCCATTCCCTTGCCGCACACGACAGAAAAACATGGTGTGGAGGACCTTTTCAGGGTTGTAAAAAAGGGAAGCTACAAAGTCCATTTCGGGACCCGGTGCCTCAGTTAAGCCCGTCCCCTCCCCAATTTGGAAGATGCCTCCACGCGGTACATGGTGTAGGGCGCAGCTGTCAAGGTCGAACAAGACCCCTCCGACTCTAAGAGCTGGCACTCGTTGGCCGAGCTGGTTCCCGCCTATCTGCAGCATAAGAAAAGGTGAGAAGCTGGCTGGGGGGTGGAACTATTTGGCATAAGGACTTCTCGTATATGAGCCATCTTGCCGTTGATATCTGGTTGGTGTCCTTGTGGCGTCCTTGCCTTTCCTTTTTGGCGTCCGCTGGCGTGCTTTCCAATCATTGAGACAAATGTGGACCCAAGTTGCAATACCATCTTATGGTTGGTTGCCTCTTGAAAGGTTTTAATTGGAATACATACACTCGGTCCACAACGTCCCAGGCACCTCATGCTTGAGAAAAACCCGCCTGGCCGTACACGAAGAACCTGCCGCCCAAATCGGCCCCGGCACCCAGTACTGCTCGGATGCAGTCGTCCAGCTGGTAGGAGGTGGACAAGGGGACCAAGATGCTGCCAGAGCAAATGCTGCCGTCCACCTACAGTCGGTCAAAGCAACCAACCAACCAACCAACCAACCAACCAACCAACCAACCAACCAACCAACCAACCAGCCAGCCAGCCAGCCAGCCAGCCAGCCAGCCAGCCAGCCAGGCAGCCAAGCAGCCAAGCAGCCAGCCAATCAACCAAACAAGCAGCAAGCCAATCAGCCAAACAAACAAAGCAAAGACGCAACAAATGAACAAGCAAAGACGCAAAGAAACAAACAAATAAACAAGCAAAGCAGAGAAACAAGCAAACAACCAAACAAACAAAAAAACAAACAAACAAACAAACAAACAAACAATCAATCAAACAATCAAACAACGAAACAAACAAGCAAACAAAGCAAACCATACCAAACCGACCCAACCCAAACCAATCAAATAAACAACAATAAAACAAACAACAATAAAACAAACAACAATAAAACAAACAACAAGCAGCGGGAATGAAAGTCAAATGGAAGATGCCCAAAAATGGAAGTAATATGAGAATCCAGACCTCCCAAGAAAGGCATAAGAATAGGCCTGGGCATAAACCTCTGACTTTGATGCCAGTGCCTGCAGCTTGGCCAAGGGCAAGGACCAAATGCCCAGGTAGCTATCCAGCGACCCGCTGGCGAGCAGCTGGGAATCCAAAGAAGCCAAGGCCAGCACGATGTTGTTGTGCCCAGAGAGCTCCCTCGTCAATGCCTTCGAACTCATGCTCCAAAGCTTGATATTCGAACTGAAATAGCTGCAGCTGGCCACCTGGGGTCAAGTTGGGAAACTGCTTTTGGGAGGAATTATCTTCGTGAATGTAAGAAGGAAACCAACCAAAACCGGCACGCACCTCGCTATAGCTGGTCACGTCATCCGAGTAGGACACATATGCCAGTGCGGTGACCTGACTCCCACCCTCGTTTTCGCTCACCGTGGCCACCACTTGGAGGTTGGAGGCCTGCAGGGTAGGGGGTTCAAACCCCAAGGGATTGAAACCCAAGTCTTGTCCAAGGGCACACCCTGCCTGGAGGAAAACCAGGCGCCCGTCAGCGCCCCCAGCAGCCACTTCACTCAGTGCCTCCTGGTAGATGATCGCGGTCACCCGGCTCCCCACGTTGCCTGATAAGGAGCCAACCAAGCAACCAATAGGATAGGAAGTATGTCTTGGTTGGCAAACCGACGCCCCCCTTTCTTGGGCTGATTTCCAGAGTCTCCACTCCTGTGCCTCTAAACAGGTTAGCCGGGAACTTTTGCTTGACTCTTTGGTTTGCACGGGCCCAGCCTCGCTCGGACCTAGGGCGGCCTTTCGGGTGAGTGGTCCATCCAGAATGCTGTTGGGTGGGTTTAAGGTTGACTTTGGGTGGGTTTGACTTGGCTTGGGGCTGATTTCTGCCGGGTGTGCGGCTGGTTTAGCAGTGGCTTTGGGGTTGCTATATGGTTGCGTCTTGTGCCAACCAACCAACCAACCAACCAACCAACCAACCAACCAACCAACCAACCAACCAACCAACCAACCAACCAACCAACCAACCAACCAACCAACTGGCTGGGGCTAGTTGAGCAAAAAGGATCGGTTCCGAGTTCAAAGGGAAACCAAAAGGAGACCAAACCCCCCACCCCTAGAAACAACACCATATGAGCCATCAAAATCTACCGCGACCTAATTGAGTGAGTCCTGTGTGTCACTCCAAAATGGACCGAGGACTACTGGACATTGCGGCCAAACCTCACATGATTGACACCTCAGCTCCCTCTGATATTTTGACTCTTCTAGGCCCCTTCAAAACAACTCCTAGCTTTTGGGCCATCAACCATCTTCAGTGTCGGCAACCCAGGTTGGTTTCGTGGCCTGCATTCACTAGGCTCAGGTCTCCCTGGAAGGCTTGCAGAGTGCCCAAGTCGCCGCCGACGAAAAATACGTCCTGCCGTAGCTTCGACGTTCCCGAGTTTCTTACCAAGTTGAGATGTTTGTTTTGGGCAGAAAAAAAGGTCCCTTACTTGTGGACTTCTTACTCCTTTTCCAACATGGAAGACAATGAAAAGGCCCAAACCTTCACCATTGTGAACAAGGGGGCCAATCATGTTTTGTCGGTTGCGGAACATGGGCCCTTGGGTTGCCACTTTCTGTGGCAGGACTCCCCAGCTCACCAGATTTCCTTTAGGTTTCCTGTTCGCATTCCTAATAATCATCAAACGGGGGCTCCCGCTTGTGGTTGGGCTTCGCTTGATCTCTATTGAATACACGATCAAGAGGCTCCTGCTCCCCCGCCCAAATCTCAAATCAAGCCACAACTCACAGACGCTTCTCATAGACGCTTCAAATTAGCCGCCGGTTTAGCCAAGGTTCAAACAACGGAACCGGCGGGTGCATTTCACTCACCCGCTCCAAGAAGGAACAAAAGGAACCCTGTACTTGACCAGTTTTCCTGTCTTTCTGGCATTCCCCCTTCTGTTACTTGCAACATGTTCCGAAGAACCTACATGACAAAACCCCAAAACAAAACAAGGAAAACAACACCAAAAACAAACCCCAAAAAAAACACCTCAAAAAAAAAACAAAAACGTGAGATCACCGGGTCCCACGCAGGCGCGAAGCGCATGGCGGTCACCGGGCCCACGGACACCGGCACCAGGTCCAAGCGCTCGCCCCCGACCACATGCCCCGCCGGCACCGCAGCGCCCAGCGCTGCCGGCGCCTATGACTGGTGGCAGGTAGCCCTACGTAGAAAAGGCACGCGGCTCGAAAATGGCACGCGGCCCTACCCTCAAACGTCCAGGCCAGAATGTGGCTGCGTATCCCGTTAAACCCCTGTGATGGTCTCTTGGGGCAGTGGAGAACCTCGTAGAACTGCCCCGCGTCTCAGACCGGAAAATGACTTGCCCCTTCTTTGGGGGAAACTAGGGCAAACAGTGGCGGAATCGCCCCCGTCCCTACATTACTTGGGAGCGACTTACTTGGTCAGAAGATGAAGCTCTGGCACAAAACAAATGTTGTCACCTCGCATGCCTGTCATGCTCACATCTCTGCAAGCCCGAACAGTAGGCCGCTTGGACCATGGCACACATGCGAGTAGCTGTTTTTGAGGTTGCTTTGAGGAGCCAACCGCCCAGTGGGGGAGTTCACCGTTTGACAAAACCAGGCCTCTCGAAAGGCAAGCAGAACGCAAAGCACTCGCCACATGGCGCGCAGCTACATTGGATATGTACCTCACGATAGCACAGGTTAGTTCCCTTGAATTTAAGGAGAAGCCAAAGGCCGGTGTGTCACACAACAGTCTAAACATGTTTAGAGAAGGGGTTAGCCCCTTGACTTCAAGAAGCCTTACACATGGAACTGGGACTGAAAGAAGCCGTCCAAACAACACCCAGAAATGACATGCAGTATGCTGTCCGGCCCTTAGCTACCAGATGTGGCCGCATCTACAAGCGGCTGGCGCATAGCACATCAAACAAGACATGCCAAACGCCGTGTCACTGGCCACACCTATGTCCATGAATAAAAACGGCTACGCTGGCGCATGGAGTACCCTTCTTCCAATCATGGACGGTGGCCTTTTCACGTGGATTGCTTCCGTCTCGGATTGTCCACGTCCGTGTAACGAGGGCAAGGTTCGTGGATGCGTCTGGACACACGGCGCAGCACCACGCTGCTGGCTGTTTTCGATCTCGCGCTCTGCGAGGTGAAACCGCGAGCAACGACTTAAGACATCTGCTTCTTGAACCTGATGATCTCCTGACACAGCTGTCAAATTCATTGGGGAACAAGTAGGGGAACAGCCGAAATGTGCGGTTTCCATTGGGTTCCTTTTGCAGCCCTTTTGCGGATCCATGCCGAGGTACCTCAGGTCTCAAACCTCTGAGCCCCAGCCTCGTTTCAAAACACGAGACTTAGGAAGGTGGGGCCTTTCGTCTCTCCTCGGCTCGCTAAACGCATCTGACACGTTTTGAAGCGCCTGGTTGATCTCGTCCTTCCATTTGATGATCTGCTCAAAGTCGCGCTTCGTGAGCGTCATCCACTTCACCCCACTGGAGTCCAGGATCGTGAGCTTCGGCACCAGCTCACGCCCGTCTTTGGAGCGCAAGTTGGACACGAAGACTTTGCGACCTTGCCGGCTGGGGGGAAAATACTTCCCCCATTAACATAGAACCAAAGAAAGTATCATTTGCAGAGGAATCTACTCTCCTTGTTCAGATTCCGCGTTCCCTGAAACATGTTGCCGACCATGTTTGGAGGTCTCCTCGGTTAAGCATGCATCAGGAAATCCACTCCGAGTACAACAAGCAAGCGTCCTAACCCACGCAAACCTGGCGTGCATGGCGCCTGAACCAAAGAGTGGCTTTGGCCACCCAGCGCACCCAGATGGGCGCCCAGATGGGCATCACATGGCAACCAAAAGGAAAACCTCTTGATGGTGGCTCTGGGTTGCCGCCCAGCGCCGTGGATCACATCCCCCCACTCGCCAAAGGGCCCAGAGGCGGCCCCAGCGACAGCTGCCGCCCCTTCCGCTGCTCGAAGGTGTCCCGCAGCCCTGCCAGGGCCTTGTCCCGTGCCGCCAGGTCTTCTTCGGAGCACGGGAAGGTCCTGGCGATCGTCTCAAAGTTTCTTGGACGTTTCAATCCTTTGGTTAGAGATACATTGGAGCCCGCTGCGTACCCCGCTTTGTGCGAAAGGGGCAGGGTACGTCAGACAAATGGTTCGCAAAGACTTCAGATCAATCCGGACCATACTGATCAGAATTGGTCCCCATTGAATGATCCCTATTTTTCGGGTCCTCCTCCGGTCCGGATTCATCTGAAGAAAAGAAAACCCAAAGCCCCGGGGTGCGCCTGCCACTGGCGCAGCGAGACAGCCTCATCGACTTGGCCTGGAACATGAAGGTCCCTGTCACTTTTCTTGGAGATGCAAACCCCAAAAGAAGATGTGTTGTCCCATAAAGCGATGGCTTTTCAGGCTTCGGGTACATCTGCAGGATCCCACGGGCGGTTATGGTGACTTGATTGATGGAAACTTAGTATTGTTGCAGATCCTCGTGCACTTGTGACGTCACAGCCACTTGCGAAACTAATGAGCATGCGCAAGGCCAGCTTTTCTTGCACGAAGTGTTGTATTCCACCCTCAACAACAATCGCTTAAACGTCATCTGATCCCCTTCGGAGCCGGAACCGGATCAGGCTATCGGCTATCGTTGAAGGCAGTTCTTGCTTCGCGTTTGAATCCACAGGGTTGCCTATGTCTCCCTAGAGACGCGGCCCCGAAAGGAAACTCAGTGTCCAAGAAATGAAGATTGGAAACTTCGACATTACGAAGAGAGGAAATACGGAGAGCCCCGATTCATCTCGGAGAAAGCCGCATTCCCTTGTCTCAGACTTCAACTTGCAGGCCTCGAAAACAGACACCGCTCGCCCAATGGACGCCATGGCATTGAAGTAGGCACAATGCTTATTTTGTGCATGTCCCAGACTTGTAGGAGTGGTGCTGTGAACTGCTTGCGAACTGATCAAACTGTCAAACCACTCCAGCACATCTGGGGAGTATAGCTGCTGATTCCGGCCTAGGATACTGTAATGTGAGATTGCAACACGCATAGAGATGTGCAACGCTGTCTGTGCAAGCAAAGCACCGATCACAAGCAAGGTATAATCTTGCTGACAAGGGCAAGTACGTCAGCAGCCATCGACTACCTGAACAGCCAAGAATTGGGTCTCCACGCCACAGCGAAGGATTCGCTCTCAAATGGACACCCCGAAGTGCCCAAAGGATTCCACAACTGCAGGCAATGCGGGGCGCACGTGCAGCATAGAATTCCTGGAACTAGACCTTGGGGAGGAGTTGACTGTCCTACCCTGTACCATACGGGCCAGTCTCAAAAGGAGAATGCCTTTTGGATGGAATGCAAAGGAGAGCCAACAAAAAACCAACCACATGGAGAACGCAGTTAGACTGGCATAGGATACATGCACTTGTCATCGGAAAGTGGCGCCTGCAGGGCCGTGAGACGTTTGGCAAGTTTTGAGATTGGCTCCTGATCTCACGCTGACAAAAAGGTCAATTGCCACATGAAGTGTTCATTCTTGCTAAAATACTGAAAACTGTCGCGGCTCCCTACGTGACCAAAACCGAGTTGTAGTTGCTCCTAGAGACGGCGGGCATTCGTCTGCCACGCACCGACAAATGTACGATGGAAACCAGAAGTTCCGGTCCCACAAAAGGCATCCATTTGTTGAACAACCCTCAACTGGGGATGATGATTGGACCAATCAACAAAGCAGAATGTGCCGAAGCTTCATACCAACATGGGCCAGGGTCAGCTGCCTGTGATGTCCCCTGAGTCCCCCTGGTGTTGCAAAAATGTTAGAGTGCCTCTGTACTTTGTGGTTGATATGTGGAAAGTAGTGAGTCTCTCATCCCTGGAACCAAAACTGAGGCCCGGTTTCCCCTTGTTGTGGGTACCAGCTCCAAAATGGCAAAAGCGGGTTTTGCTGACTCGGGATGAAGAAACCCTGGTTGATTCAAATAGGTGTGTGTCACCGTCCCTTCCGAATCGCTTGACACGGGGGCCAAATCACCGAACATCCCGCTGCTCTGGACACGTGGCGCTCTTACCAAACTTTTGCTGACTGCGGATCGCTGGCAGGCTCCGAAGTCCTGCCAAAACCGATGGGTCCACACTCTCCACATTGCGGTACAAACCAGACCCAAGAAAAAGCATTGAAAGGTTAACCAAGCGTAACCACGTTGAAAGATCAAAACAACTGAAACCAACAGAAGAGAGGTTGCCCAAAATGGGGGGAATGAATCTTGATTGGTGATTCACATGGTGGATTCATGCACCCACATTGGAGATTCATAGCCGAAACCATGAACTGTTGGGTTTATCTGGGACCCCTTTTAAGAGTACAACCAGCCACAGACTAAAGTTTTTGGCACTCACATGGTGACCAAAAAGCGCCGGGTCCCGGTGGGTCCCAGCCGTCCTGGCACTGCAAACCGCAGGCTGCCCAGCAACCGCAGCTCCGCGTCCTAAGGAGACATCGCCCAGCCAAGCCCTGGTCAAAATTGTGGTCTCAAGACATGGGAAACTGAGTGAGTCTCCTGGATTTTGTGGGTGAGCTTCCCCGTGTCCCCATGTCAGTGCGTTCTATATGCAAACGGCAAACGGCAGGGCGAGTGTTCTAAGACGCAGTTGGGCAATGGGGTCAAATGTGACTCTACCATGGCCCGTGGCCCCATGAATGACACTTAAAGATGCCCACTGCAATGACATGGTCATTGGCAGCCAAAATAAAATAATATTCACAGCAATGACTTGTGTTGTGTGTTGAAACATTCCTTTTTGCATAGATGTATTAACCATTGGGCTTTTGTAGGCTCCATAAGAACCCCCCAAAACAGAAAACGTTGTCTCCATAAAATCCCCGTGGATCTGTGGCCATCGGTCAGCGTGTCCTGCAGCCCGCGTTGCTCCGCCTCGCCCAGGCCGGTGGAAAGAGCAGACACGTCCGCGGCCAGGCGAGCGTGATGCATCTCCTGCGGTCGGGCGAAAAGGAAAGAGCATGGCTTTGAAAAAAATAAAGGGGAAGACCCAGCACGCCAACCAACAAGCTGAGAGTGGCTGTTGCAAAGTGATTCTGGCTGACAAGGCTGGTGGTTCCGAGGGCGCTCTGACTCCTGCTGCTCCAAGGCCACAACATTGGAACGGTACGGAAGGCAGACGTCACGTGAGTCTGGGAAACGATGCCGGTCTAACCCACACCGACCTGTAGGTTTGCCCTTTGCCCTTGCATGACAGGCTCCAAGGTTCATGTGGTAGCTTGACAAATCATGGTCGACGGGTTCGCTGGACGCTGGGAGAGCCATGGCAAAGGCTGGTCAAAACCCCGCCGCTAGTGGATCATGCGGTCATAGTTAAGGAAACCTCACAACAATGCCAGGTGCAAGCTAGTTGAACAAACACCTGGCCAGGAACAAATGGGTTGGGTACATGACCACTAATTGCAACAAACAGGGCCCTGATGGCCAACCCCACTACCGAGCAAATGGGCCAAACAAATATTAACTTTGTGTGTGTGTGTGTGTGCCACTGAAATTGTCTTCTCAAAAAAAGAAAAAGAAAGCTGCAACCCACTTTCCCAGCAGTTGCCGGTCTCATTTCGACCCCGAAAGCAAAGCCTCCAGCAATTCCAGCGCCGGCCCCCACTGCTTGCCGCAGCCCAGGGCCAACACGGCGGCGCTGTAGCCTCCGTGGCTGGTTTTCTTTTGACTTCCCTTTCTATCCAAAATAGGACCCCTATGAAAGGCCCTTTTGACCATGCCCACGGACAACATGATTTGTTTCCCACAAGGTTGCGTTTGCCCTGGTTTTCGCAGGAAATGTGGATTGTCCCCCCAATCAATCTTCTCCCTAAGCCAACAGTAGACCACCTTTCTGGTTTCGCCTTACCAGTCATATTGACAGTTGCTCATGGGTCTCGAGTTTTGGAACACATCTGCCGATGCTTCCAGCAATCGGGCGTTTCACCACATGGTGTCCCAAAGAGAGCCCTGTTGCTGCTAGCCGCAAACCATCACCCCCAAGGCAGCACAAGTATGTACAGTGAGTGGTTGTACAACCCATTCTCCGAGTAGTTGCGGGTAGGGAAGACCCTCTTGGAACAAACTCTCTACCGCTGCAGAACCACTGGCGTGGTGAACGTAAAGGAGGCAAGCCCTTCTTTGCGGGACTTTGGGCTTGGCAAGCAAACAAGTGTGACACTATCTTTCAGGGATCCTGAAAACTTGGTTCATGATGCCAAAGAATCCTTTTAGGGGGCAGGGAAGTAGATACAAATGTAATCGACTGCAAATCCATTGGCATTCAATTGCTTCGGCATCGAAAGAGGTTGCTTGGTGAAATGGGATCTGTGGCTTGGGTGTGTCCCAAATTTAGGGATCCCTCCCTAGTCGTGTCCCAAAAGGTTGCTTATGTTTGATAGCTGGGATTGGGGTCGGCCCACAAAGGGGGCTTAAATTCCATTTCCCCCACCAAGGTTGTCCCAAGTTGTTTTCCCTCCACCCTGAGACGAGTTGGACCCCCGATGCGGTCAGGCCACCCATAGCACCCAACTCTAGGCGCAAGGAGGGCATCGCAGAAAACAGGCCTCGGAAGGGCGGACACCGAAAAAACGTTCAGCGCAGAGATGCGGTAGAGCCTGAGTGCGATGCTGAGACCCGCTTCCCAGGCAAGGCCTGCCAATGGCACGCTCTAAAGTGGAGCCTTAAGCACCCATCGTTCTGAGAGGAGCCGCCTCAACTTGAGGATATACCATATTCGTTTCCTGGGGTGTGTGGTGGGGGTTTTCTTCGAAGATTCGGATCCCTAAAAGGGATAGTTGCAAGTTACCCCGAGAATTCTAGGCGCTTGGGAGCTTCAGTCATGCCCCCTGACCAACGAAGAACGCATCGCCGGCAGACCGAATTGGATGGGCCGAGGAATGCTCCCCGGCAAAGTCAGCGGGAAACCCAAAAATGGAGATTCGGTCCTACTAAATGAGAGAGTGTCTCGTTGGTTCAAAAAGCATCCAAAAACGTGCACAGGGGGCTCCAAATCAGCTGGTAACTGTGATGTTCAGCATTTCAGCAACCCAGCGCAGCCCCGCCTCTGCTGGAGGCGCGGAGTACCGAGTCGGTGATGACCGTGTCCGGGCGTGGCCCCTTGCAACGAGAACCCGCAAAAAACCCAGCGCGGTCGTGCACGTGTCCCTCAACCTCTAGGTCAAGGGACTGGAGGTTCCCCCAAAGGAAAGTTCCACCTTCTTGTCAGCTGGTACGATTGGAGGGTTAAATGCTCGTGCGAGCAAGACTCCTTGTGACTTATGGCTTGGTTTTTAACTTTCACGACGTACAACGCCGCTTGTTGCTAGCACTTAGCACTGACCATCCTGTACCACCATTCCGACCACGGCACATTTAGACGCTACACAAAGGTGAGGAATTGGCAGTGCCCCTCATCAGGTGAGTCCCTGATAAGTCCGCTAAAGGAAATCTATTGAAATAGCCCACAAAAGCTGTGTATGAGTGTGTGTGTGTGTGTCCTTGCTTGAAGGTACCGTTTGATTGGTAAAAAATACACATTGGAACTCAACGATTTAGGGGCTTCGTCCATCCCCCGCGAGGGCCTCCTCCAACATCCGATTGAACACAGCGAGAGCACCAGCCCAATGATGCCCTCGCTCGCAGGCAGTGATGACCTGCATCACGCGAGCATGGAGTCTCGTAGTGCAAGACACCGCGAGTCTTCGCTTAGCATCACAGAAAGCAACCTTAAAACTCCGCAAATCTTTCTATACTCTTCAAGTCTGGAACTGCCAAGTCCAAATACCCCAAGCCCTGTTGCGACAATCGGAAACCAAATAACCTCGGGGGGGAAGAGCAAAATACTGCAAACCACAGATCCGAGCTGGCCCTGGGTCCTTGTCCACACCCGGGCTGATTTTGACTGGGCCTTGTGCACCCCATCCATGGCCCTGGGCCCTAAATTTTGAGCCACAGACAAACCAAGGCGCCGCCCCCGTCAGCACCAAGCTCTCAGCACCCATGCAGCCCAGCGATTGCCAAATGCCGATGGCTTGCAGCCAACATGCGCCTGGCGTCATGCCGCCCCTCTTTGTTCACCTCCCCCTCCATCAAAAAAGCAAACACGAGGAGCCGGTAGCACGTGCCCCCTTGTCCCCGCCTTCCGGGCCATACACTGGATATGTTGAAACCTCTTGCATCATGCACCAGAAACAAAATCAGCAACAGGCGAAAGATTCTGGGCCGATTGCGTCACCAGCGCGGTCGTCAGTCAACAATGATGCCTTCCTCTGGATCCAAAACAACCACCACGGCAGCGATGTGTGCAACTGTTGCCGCTGCATTTTGCTTGTCATACTTTGTGCACAAATCAGCTGCTCTGACATAAATGGGCAGGTGCAGGGCTTGAAGGGGTGTTCAACACCGCGCTCCCGCGCAAGCAAGGTGGCCATATCCCGACCCAGCCGCGCACTCTCGCGACTGCCTCGCACAAACGCACACCCGTTCTGCTGCACCCACCCACGGCCGTCCCCAACCGGCCACGGATCCAGCATTCTGCGCCACACGCACCCATTCACACGGGCACACGGCCGTCCCCCCACCAGCCTCGCGCACCGGTTCTGCACCGCACCCTTCTCTGCACCACACCGGACAGCCCGGCGCACACCGAAATGGAAACCCTAGCCCTGGCAAGCCCGGCCGTGCCCCAAATTTGGGCGCACAACGACATGGAAATCCCTTCTTATCTCCGTCGTCAAAGCTTTCATCGCTCCCCGGAACCTAAAGGAACCTAAAGCAGAAGCCAAGAAGTATTAGAGATGCTTTTGAGGAAAAATTTTGGGTCTTTCCCCGAGCAAAATTTGGGACTCAAAAGCGGGATCATACAGGGCCAGACGGAGACCCACTGCAAATCAACAAAACCGAAAATGGCAAAGACAAAGCTTCGTCTTGCCGTCTGACGCACGCCTCTGGCCAACGCGCTTAGTAAAGTCCCATGCGCGATCTGGTCCAGCGGAACCGTGGAGAGCAGGTCCAGAGCCACCTCGAAGGCGCGAGAATGTCCAGCCAGGGTTTGTCAGGCTTGAACACCTCCAAACAAAGCCACTGGCTCACCTGGTGCTCTATAGATGGCCCAAAAGGGTTGGTATGTGACCTCTATGATTTTACCAACCATTTCGAAGGTTTAAACTTCTGCCAGTCTGGGTTGTGGTAAGGCTCCCTCGCTACGAATCCTGAACGTTCTCTACGTCCTCACGTCTGTTGATTACGGCACATATGCCCCATCAGGGTACGTGTTGCTTCATGTCCAAACTTCTTGTGGCTGTGGCTATGGTAATGGTCTCCCGTAAGCAGAACCCTTACAAGGATAAACCAAAAACAAAAATAATGAGAAAGGTCATGGGGTCACCGTTTCCCAGCTCGGAACCCTGGCTCTTGCCATAACCTGCCACAGGAACAACACCCATCTTCAACCATCCATGTTGACGTGTTCTGCAACCGCCTTGGCCAGATGTCCATGTCTGTCCGGCACAAAGAAGACCCCCGAAGCACGAAGCCGCTTGTTGAATGCATGGAGGGAAAACAAACGAAAACCCGTACATTTGGGGGGGTCCCAAATGCAACACGAACCCAATTTGGAAATCCAACCGGACATCCAAAAACGAGCAAAGAAAGACAAGACGCTGCTGAATATACTGAACCACGTGTGGGGGATCGGTTCAACAGCAAAACAAACAGGGTGGCGTCCAAAAACAATACGAATGCAAGCCCTTGGGGGGATTGCATGCGCTTAGTCCTGTTCTGCTAGGTTAGGATAGGTTTCTGTTGTTCTGTTATGTGTTGTATTCTGTGCGTGTAACAAATGCTATGAATGTTATGCATCTTATCTGCGTTCTGCGCTGCATGCGCGGTATGTGTGGTATGCCTGTTATATGTGGTATGTGTGGTGTGTGTGTGCGTTATGCAAGTTGTGTATCATATGTATGTTCTGTAGGGTAATATGGTATGTATGGAACGTATTTAATGTGTTGTGTGTGTGCATGTTTATTGTTCTGTATGTTCTGTATGTGTTGCATGTTATGTATGTTGTGCATGGTGTGTGTATGTGTGTTGCGGTGGATGTTTTGTATGTTGTGTACGCAATACATATATATATATATATGTATTTATTTATACTTATAATTATCGGGTCCCCCCCATGGATGAGTTTGATCTGAGTGTTGTGTGCCTCCTCGATCTTGTGGCAAAATTGGGGGGGAATATGTGTATATATATATATACATGTACATACATATGCAATGTAAGCAATGATATCAACATTTGCCATCTGACAGAGTGCGCATGCATCTCAGAGTATTGCGACAGCTCTGGAATTTTCAAAGGTTTTAGAAATTCGGGCATGCAAGATTCAAGCATCTGAGAAATCCTTTTTGGGAATCTTGAATCCTGAACTCCTGGTTATTTAAGAAAATCCAGGGTTGGCCCAATCTTCTAGGTTTCAATACATACATTTCTGCAAGCAAGTATGCGCACCCATCTGCGGTCATGTGATCTGCAGCCCTCCAAGTTCCCGCAATGGGTGGATTCAAAGTCAGACGACAAAATTATCGGAAAAGCTTTCGTGAAAGATCTGAACCTTCAATCCAGTGGTAGAATACCTTCGAGGTTTTAGAACAACTTGAACAAGTTGGGGTTGGCCAGGATTGACGATTCTCAGGACAGTTGCTTGTGCAATTTTTGAATTGTGAGTCCTCAATCCAGCGGTGAAGCACTTTCAAGCGCTAGAACTTGAATGTTGTTTGATTTTGGCCAGGATTGACGATTCTCAGGAAGATTTCTGTATACTCTTCAATCTTGAATCTTCAATCCAGCGGTAAAATACTTTCAAGTGCTTGGCGGTCCAGTGGAAACACTGTCAAGTTCTTAGACAAATCTTCAAGTGCTTTTGGTGAGCGTTTTGCTTCATGCAAGCTATGCTCATGTTAACCTTTTGCAGGAGGTAAAGCTAGGTGTCGCGCTGAACACACTGGCCGCTACAGCATTCCATGAAAAGGCGCAGGGTCATGAGGGATACTACATGTTTGTATGCGCGTGTGTATTTATATTTTGTATATATGGCCCCCCCTTCCCAGGGATCACCTTTAACATAAACAACTAACATATCATGTTTGCAAATATTTCTTACAAATGTTGGGCTTCAAGACAACACTGTAAAAGCCAGTGTTTTTTGAAGTTTTCTTTCACAGAGACTTTGTGCCTTCAGGAGATGCGTCCTTGCATAGATCAAACTCGAAACCGAATCCGGTTTCGATTTTGATGTTTGTTGCTTTGGAAAGTGTGCACCTGCCAGTGTTTTGTAGACATTGGAGTGAAAAAACACTGGGAAACCGTCCATTTTACAGGGGTTTGTTCGCCCCTGTGCTCCAAAACCCGCACAGGGACAAAAAACGGAAGTTCAAGTCCCAAAGACAAAAAATGAAAAATGGAAATCCTGAGGGAGATCTCCAGGTCAGATGGAAAGTTCTCGCTGAGATTTCCATTGTTTCTATTTTTTGTCCCTGTGCAGGCTTTGTATCTTCCACCTTTTTTTGTTCCTGTGCATGCTTTGGAGCTTCAAGATGCTGAAACCCGCACAGGGACCAAAAAAATGGAAGTGCAAGTCCCAAAACCTTGACAGGGACAAAAAATGAGAAAAATGGAAATCCTGAGCGAGATCTTCAGGTCAGATGGAAAGTTCTCTCTGAGATTTCCATTTTTTACTTTTTGTCCCGGTGCAGGCTTTGTATCTTCCACTTCCATTTTTTGTGTGCATGTTTTGAAGCTTCAAGATGCAAAGGGCTCACACGGTTCGCTTTTTTGGTGCTGGCAGCCATGGAAAACAGTCAAAACTAGCTCATTCCAAGAGCACAAATGGCTCAGAAGCATTTCCAGATGCACTACATTGGGCTTTGCAAGGACCCGGCGCTGGAGAGAGTTCGTTGCATTCAAGGCTTCCTCGAGGCCAATGTCACTGCCTGAAGCAATCATCTCAGCCAGAGGAGCAGATAGATGCCTTGAGTTATGCATGCTGCAGATCAAGATGACAAGTGGTTATATGATGGTTCATACTCATATAAGCATATGCTCACCCCCATCTCCAAATTTATCATGAGTTGTAAAACTTTCCCTCAAAAGGTGGGCTGGGGGGGGGGTGAGCATATACACATATATATATGTTCACACACCGCCACCCTTCCCTGAACTACCTGTCCACCTCTGCTCGTCTACCAGATAGAATCACTTATGGTGTCCTGCCCGAATAAGACTCTAAGTGCAACTGAATACTTGTTTTGAGATAGTGTTACAATTTGAATCTCTAATCCATTGAAATGTCCATTTTGGAACACCGCCTAACAAGTTTAATTTCGGACCTTTTCTCTTGTGCTCATAGGCCATAATGTGAACAACAGAAATCGTGTTTCGATTTCCCTTGTAGAAGTCCCTCAAATGTTTCGCCATATTTACTCTGAATGATATTTGAAAAATAGGTTCTATTTAGTTGTTATCAAAAGCTAGTTGAATTGTGTTTGTATTAGATTATATTTAACACTTAGATTATAATGGGAATAAACTTATCTATTTTTGCTTCTCGAAATTTTGATGTAACTCCTATTTGGAAAGGAACTGTCTACTTAAGAAATATTTGAACGTAAAACACATTGTGGAAACTATGTCCTTACTAAATTTGTACTATTTGGAAAAGATCTCTCATTGGGACATTTTGCAGGACTCCGGCCTCCAAATCATAAGCGTTCGTAAAGTTTGAAATTGAGAATCATGTGTGTGTGTGCATATATATATATATATTGTTGTGTTGTGTCATAATAGGCAACATTGTTGTAATAGGTTATAATATAGTGAATCATATGTATGTATGTATCTCTGTTTCACAGTCTGCATGCACGTATGTATGTATGCATGCATGCATGTATGTATGTAATGTAGTGCAGTGTGGTGTAGTGTAGTGTAGCGTAGCATAATGTAATGTGATGCAATGTAATGCATTGCAGTCCAATGTATGTGCAATGGAATGCATGTACATACAAACAACCAGGCCCTGATCGCCTTTAAAACAAGTAGGTTGCGCGGGGTCATTCTTAGTACCCTTTTTTTGGGGGGGGAGTTCCACCACTAGGGGAAGCCACCGGACGAGGCGGGGGCGCCGTGTCCGCCTGCCACCGGAAGCCGCGCTCGCAGGCCGTGGCCACGGCGCTGTGCGTCGCCGCGTCCGCGGCGAGCCGCGCCGCGGCCATGGACTTCAGCAGGCGCAGGGCGCTGGTCGGGCGGGCGCGCAGCGCGTGGGCACAGGCGCCGAAGCCTCGGGGTGCTTTGAGGGTGCACTCAACGAGCCCTGATTTGGGCAAACCTTCAAAAGGGTGTGTTTCTGTGTGTGTGATCCTTGTTTGAGGGTATCATGGGAATTTTTGCCCCAGTTCAACGGGGAAACCCAAAGGTAAAACCCACCAATCTGGGGTCCTAGTGTGACACATACACCTTCAGCCAAGTAGTGAGTCCGCATTTGAGAAAAGACTGGGAAGTCAAGCTTTAGAAGGAAAACCACGCTAGGCATGGATCGGACATCATGTACATGTTAGGATGCTCCTGAAGTCCACCCCTGAGGGCACGAATGTCCCATCAAGGTGTCATTCAAGAAAACATATCAAATGATGTCCAATCGCCAAGGAAATACATCAAGGTATCAAGGGCTAATGTTGTGACATGGAGGGTCTTAGGGTTGTATCTCATATCCCTGGTAAACCATCACCCGTTTCCATGGCTATGGCGTACATAGTTTGGAGTAGGAAGTAAAACCCCTGAGGGTAAGCAATTCTTTGGATTCTGTGCAGGAGTCGTGCTCGGATGCCTCTAGTGGGTGTGCATTCACACCTGGAAGTGGGCATAGAATATGTTTATTCAATATATGATAGTATCCTAAGTACAATCTCGTGTTACATTGCAGGCGAGTGATGTCAATTGCATCATAGTGTATGATATATGCTGGTAGCGGATCGCACCAGGCTACTTTGCGTAGGTTGACATAGTGTGTGGATTTGTGTACATATGCTTATATATATAGATGTATGTATATATATATATATATATTATGTACCTGCAATGAGGTGGCCCTGAGATCTAGAAATTATTTCGAGCTGTTGCACCGAACTACAAAGTCGTCCGGGGCAAGTCAAGATTCAAGATTATGATGCACTGTCAAGATGAAATCCTCACTTCTCGCATCATGAATGATTGGCTGGCGATGGTTCAACAATTTGTAGGAGTGCCTTGCGATTGTGAATCTTGAATCCAAGACTTTGACTGGGCACCCAGGAAAGTGGATTCCAGATTAATCTCAAGAGATCCTGGCAATTTCAATCTTGAAACTGGAACCGGAGTACTTCAAAACTATGCAAAGTACCTCGAAGAACTTGAACTGGATCCATATCAAAACTGCCTTTGAACTGGCCAATCATCTCACACACGTGCCTCGGATCCTCGCAGAGCGAACACCCACTGCAAACAATCGAAAGGGCCTTTGGCAAAGTTGCAAAGCGACGTTTGGAAGAAAAGGACTACCTGCAACATTGCGCACTGACAATAGCCTTCTCTAAACAGTTCATGAAAAAATGTTAAGGGGCATCCTTCAAAGAGAGCTTCCGTTTGGGAAAAACACTGCGCCATTGCCAAGAAGTGCTTCCGGACAAAGGCAAAACTGCACAGTGAATGACCCTAGGAAAACAACTTCAACAACTGGAGAGAATCTATGCAAGGGTGCTAGATCTACAGCTTCAGCATCGTACGAAAACTGCGGGAATTTTGAGAGAGAGAGAGAGAAAGGGAGAGAGAGAGAGAGAGAGAGAGAGAGAGAGAGAGAGAGAGAGAGAGAGAGAGAGAGAGAGATCACACCGACAAGTTGAAGGGGGAGAAATGGTTTGCGGGCGCGAAAGGGGATAGCCGTCAACAAACTCAAGTGTTCGTCGCAGGGTTGTCCGCATTTGCCCTAATTGACAAAGCGCGTTTTGAAGCAGAGGAAAACTCCTCTGAGAGATGCTAAAGCCTCTAGACAAGCTCTGAAATGTTTCACAGGGACCTCTGCTCAGTCTTTCGAAACCTGGCGAATCTGTTGGGGGAAGTAGCCTGTTTGCATGAAACCTGCAATGGGTAATTTCGCCGCTGACATCTTTCCTGCCAGCGGCACAAACCTTGAGTGCCTGCCATGCATCAAGAGAACATGCTGGCTTTCGGCAAAATGAGAGGAGCCTTCTTGGAGCTGAAACCGAAACACGAAAACCGCCGCGCAGCTCTTCACGTCCGGCTGCCATTCCGGCCTGCGCCATTGCCGCTAATTCTGAGTCCATCGTACATTGCAGCACCCAGAAATGGTGAAAGAACCAGTTGGCTTTAGTGCACTCTGCCCAGCCCACTACCGGATGAGACCGACTCAATCAAACCTACGAACCCAAGCAGATCAAACAAACCATCAAATAACGCAATCAAAACAACCAAGCCAAGCAAGAACACAAGCAAGAAAGCAATCCAGCAAACATGCCAACAGACAAACAGACAAATACTGGCAATCCAAAAGACAAACACGCAAGGAAGCAAACAAGCAAGCAAGCAAACAAACAGCCAGATAATGAAGGGGCCAAACAGCAAGCACACAGACAGATAGACAGACACACAGACACAGAGACACAGAGACAAAAGACAAAAGACAGACAGACAGACAGACAGACAGACAGACAGACAGACAGACAGACAGACAGACAGACAGACAGACAGACAGACAGACAGACAGGCAGGCAGGCAGGCAGGCAGGCAGGCAGGCAGGCAGGCAAGCAGGCAAACACGCAAACACGCAAACACGCAAACACGCAAACACGCAAACACGCAAACAAACAGACACACAGACAGCCAGCAAGCAGGCAGGCAGGCAGGCAGGCAGGCAGGCAGGCAGGCAGGCAGGCAGGCAAACAGGAAGACAGCCAGACAGCCAGACGGCCAGACGGCCAGACAGCCAGCAGGCAGGCAGACAGGCCGACAGGCAACAAACAGACGGACAGACAGAAAGACAAACAATGCACCAAACAAAGAGGGTGCCTCATTTCTGCCGTCTCTGTTTTGGATTTTGGGATGGCAGAGGCTGCGACTCTGTCGTCGCTCGCCTCCGCAGCAGCGACAGGGCGCTTTGCCACGCGGCGCCGTGGGCGCACGCAGCCAGGGCCGCGTTGTACACGAAGAGGTTAGGCCTTCACTCGCCACAAGTTGAAGGTGTGCATCCCTCTTTTGAATGGTTCCTAAAATCGACGTGGAACCATAGCATCGCCTCATGAAGCTTGATGATGTCCTCGAGCATCACATTGGGTTCCACGGACTTCACACTTCGGTATGGAGTCCAACCCATCGGAAACCCAACCATTTTGCCAATCGCTACCCCATTCCTTTCCCCCATTCTTGAGCGACCCAGAATTCCTGGCTTGTCTGGAAATTGCCCGAAAAGAAGGACGCCTAGAAAGATTGGGGGTTGGCTTTCCCTCAAAAACGGACACACTTCTTACCGAAAACCCTCTGAGAAAGGGGCAGCGCGGCAGCACACAAAAGAAAAAACTAAGCTGGTCTCAGAAGCAAGCAAAATAACGCTGGAAAACTGCCCCATTTGCGCCACGACCGAAACCTAAGGAGTCCATCCACCCGAAGCAAAGTGAAAGGCTTTTTGTCGCACTGAGTTACTTTGAACAGTCTGTCTCCTCATCCAATCACGATGGAATTTGACAACTTCCAAACAGTATGCACACTCAAAAGAAAACTCAAAACAAACGGTAGCTTGAATCGCGTCCACCTCCCAAAATGCTTGCGTGCATGGACCAAGCAGGTCGCATCGAGCCATTAAAAAGCTCTTCCTTCCTGATGCAACCTAGCAGGGAAGGGCAAATCGAGAACCAAAATCAAACACCGACACTGGTACACTGCTTATCAAACAAAAAAACAAGAAACGTGTGTCCGATGTGCTTCCTTGTTAGTGTAAATTTAGCCGGAATCCACCATAGCTGGGCCCCAGTTTGCCAAGTGACCAAGGCCCGTCTTGGCAAAGCTTCCAAAGCACAGCGAGAGCATCCTCAGCGAGTCAATGAACCTCAAAACCAAACCGGTTCCTTAGGGGCACATCTGAATCCAAAATGAATCTAAAAATCAATATTTGGGCTTTAAGGGTGAATGTGGATATAGGCCAACCACTTGACACATGGGAGCTGCAGTCGGACCCTCGGCTGTCCTCCCATCGCTGCTGGCGTCCGGCATGTGTTATTAGGGCGGTCCAGTATCGCATTCGAGTGCTCGTGGCTGCCAAGGCCATCCAGCTTAGACATGTTACCTCTCCGCCAAATAGCACCTCTGGGAAGGTACCTGGAAGACCCATTCCTAAAGAGACCCACCGGGGGTACTCACCGGCGCAAGCTTCTCATTTTCTGCAGCCCCTCGAAGCTGCAAGGTGAAACGTGCACGGTGCGTTTCCGCAGCGTGGATAAGAATACCAGACGCTCTTGTTGGATGCAGTGAAAGCGCGTGCGAATTCATCCTCAAGCACCTGCCAGGCATTTGTTCGGGAGGCAGAGGTGGAGATGCCTAAGATTGAAATACATACCAGTCTCCGGGTCAAACGTCCGGCAGAAAGACGTGCATAGCTACTGAGCTCCCGAACTATGAGGGCACTGCCGTGTCATCTTCTGAGGAACGAGGCATCGGAGATGTCGCTGCAGCTTTCTACCTCGGTGAAGCTGCAAACGGCTGAACGAGGGAGCTGTCATGGTTGGTTGCTCAACCCTGAAATCATGGGGTCCAGTCGTTGGTTTCTCTGAATTTCTGGTTGCTGTTTATGCGATCCATGTCTAATCTTGTGTCTAATGGGGAACCAAAATCCCAATCATTGGGCAGGCCTGTACCAGTTCAAGGCCAGCTCGCTTGGCAAGGTGAGGAGCAAACTTGTGTTGTTGTTTTAGCTTTAACATAAAAGCTATACCCTGAGCTCAGCCATTTAGCTTTAGCCAAGTTCAGTTATGATAGACTCTGATAGATCAAGATGGATGTGCGTTTACTTTTCCTCGAAAACAGAAACGACCCCCCAAAGAAAAGGATACCAGAAGAAAGACACTTCAGTCGTTTACCTTTCCCATTTAATTTGGGTTGCAAGGGTCAACTCAGTGATACAAGCCATGGCCGCCTTGGGGGCGACCAGTTCGGTCGGCAAAAGTTGCGGTGCACCTATTGCAAGAAACCAACCACAAATAACCACAAACCACGGGAATTTCCCGGGTTGCCCTTGTCCCCCTTCAATAGGGCATCCACCGTAGAATGATTGTAAGTCTTTCTATGGGTTATTCATCGGCGTTAGCCACTTGCTGACGTACCATGCCCCTTCAAGTGAGACAGCATGGACCGGCTGGTTTTGGCTTTGGGGTGAAACTCCAAAAAAATCGGAACCCAACCAGCCCCACCTCAAGGCTGTTGGACGGCGCCTGGGTCCCATGGGTTTTGGCGTAGCCTCGCACGGAAAGTCAAGGGCATGAGTTGCTGGCAATAAACACATGAACCGCGAACCGCGCCAGCAAGCAACATCCCTAAAGAGCTTTTGGATGCCCTTCTTGGGGCATCAAAATCATACAGTTACAGTCATGGGGATATAGGCAACACTACCCATGGGGAATCGTTATGTCTAGATTCGCGGGAAGGGGAGGGACGAAACCTGATAGTTTAACGGAGCCTGATAGTTTAACGGGACCCAATCTTGCCGATGATTTGAAGCCAAACACAAGTTACTCTCTTGCAAATACCGACTCCTGAAGAAACAATTGGCTTCTTGGGTTCCATGTTAAGTCTGGAGAGTCAACCTACCGATCATCCATTGTTCAGGCAAACCCGCGAAACGCGCGATGCGAGCCTTCGGGAGCCACGCGCGAAGAGCCTGCAAAAGAATGCTGTGCCGAAAAGGCCTTGAGAAGCTGAACTTGAGAAGAGGAAAGGGGAGAACTGGTGCTGGATTGGTTGAACTTCATAAGTCCATCCTGATGGAATGCACAAGGATAAAACACTTCAGATGCGAGGGAAGGTGGCCAAAAGTGAGCATGTCTGATCCAGAGGCCTCGCGCCTGCTCTTGCTGCCCTGGGGAGTAGGTACAGCACGGCACTGACAGCGAAGCCGAGGATGGGAAGCAAAACGCCTCGTGCCGTGGGCTGGGAGTGTGGGAATCTAGACATTGGAGCATACATCAAAATACCTCGTCTGGACCCTCAAAATTGACTCCGGCTTTCCGTTTGGTTTCACTTTGAACCGACCTGCAAAGGTACCCTCGACAAAACAACGACCATTTGAAGGTGGGTGAGCCATCATGCTCGTCTTTTTCAAGACGGCTGTGGGCCGCATGCTGCGAAGCTCACCGGGATCAAAGCGCTGAATCGCAGGTGTGTTCGACGGCGCGAAACTCGGACATCCCTCGGACATCCATCCCTGCGCCCTTTTTTCAATGTCCAAAACTGGTTTGGGGATCTCCAAGAAAACTGCCCACCAACTTGAAACTGCGGTTGCTCCCCTGCTCAACATTGAACATAGACCCTACAACTGCATCATTCGCGGAATCTCCTTTTGGAGTGACTTGCTTCTCGGGCTTGCGAATTTGCGGACTTCGCCCCTGGCAGCCACCGAGCCCCCTGCCCATGATCGGCAGAGGAGATGTCAAGAAGGGCTCAGGGCGCAATTCGACGCGACAAGATGAGACGCGCATCATGTCCCCCGATTTCCATGGGATTCCGAAAAGGGGCTCCCCAAGAAAAGATTCTTCCAAAAATGGGTTGTGTTTTCCGGGCCAATTCGCAGGTGAGTACTTGGTGGACAATCTGACGAAGCTTTGTTCCACGACTCATGTCCAGGACATGCACTGAGCAGGTGAGAATGGTTGTCTCTTTCTGTGATACCACAAAAAGTTGTTGCGCAGCCCTGCGACTACTGAATATCACTTTGGAGGGCATCCCTTGGCATCAAAAAAGTGGCCGCCAAACACATGTTTCCCACAATCCTGATGTACTGTGTCGTGATTGATGCGCTGAACATGTGATTTTCCAAACGGTGAGTGCCCTCCAAAGGGGCCCGGGTTCGGGCTAAACCTCCACAGTGACATGGTGGTTGCTCCCTTGGCTTCCCTTTGAACCCCCCTCAAACGGTACTCCCACAAAGAATGCCACGTCTAATTGGAAAAACAAGGGAAATGGGCCTCTCTCAAGACAGGGGGGGTTCGTGTGGATGGCTTGAGAGGGAAATCAAGAGGAAACCAATTATTTGCAGGATTGTGACTCGTTCTAGAACACACCCACCAACCCATCCGAGCGGCAGACAATATGACTTGTCTCTTGGAACGTCGGGTTATATTTGCTCATATCCTCAGATCCTCCCCAAACCAACCGTAGACCACTTCTATTGCCAGGCCATTTGCTGGGTCGTTCTAAGAGAGCGGCTGGCCCCGCTGAGCACCCGGCAGCAACGGAAAGCATGAGCGCCACAAATGGAGCGACCCAAAGGATGATGAGCGGAATGAAGCAAAGATTGTCCAATTCCTGGGAAGGGGTGGAGCTGGGTGGGGCCAACTACCGGTTTTCGTAGGTTGGGGGGAGCATCTCAACGGCAAGTGCGCGCCAATGGGGTTGACTCGGGTGGACGACTTTTAGTGCGGCGCCGAACCAAAAGAGAATAAGAGTACCACAACTGGGATGCTGTGTATGTCCAATTTCCCCCTCGCGAGCTTGTCCGTTTGCGGTTGTCCCCTTTTAACAATCATACATCCTCAAAAAAATGGAGCAACCCTGACTTGTGCTTTCCCTCTGACAACACCCCGCAAACTGGACCCTCCCACCCATCTGGAGCTGAGCTCACTGCTGACATCGGGCGCCGGTCATGCTCCTAAATCTACGCTCGTCCTAGCAGCGGACAATAGCCTGTCCCAAATGCAGCCTTGCCCTTGCACCTAAGAGTGGCTGGAAGCACACTAGTCGGTTTGCTCCGGGTTTGAAATCGTATGTCCTTTCACAAATTCTATGCAGAAAGGGGAAGGGTCCCTTTGGAAACACAGAGATCTCCAATCTTGCTCAGCGCGGGCGAATCCTCGAGCCCGAGCCCTTGAGCCAAAGCCCACATGAGCTTCGATGAGGAAATGTGAGGATCTTGTCCGGTCCAAGCACAGCTCAGGGATGTGTCAGCGGTCAAATTTACATAACGTTACACATGAATGCGGCCCAAAAAAGAAACAATAAGTGTACCAAGCAAGGGTGGCCAATCCTTTCCCCAATCCGTGCGTTCTTCCAGGACTTGTTAGGCTCCGGGTTTAAGGCTTTAGGGTTCAGGTTTAGGGTTTCTGGTTTCGGCTTCGGGCTTATGCTTAGGGGTCTTAGGGGTTTAGGTTTGGCGTTTAAGAATTTTGGGGTTTAGGTTTAGGATGTTCAGGTTTACGGTTTGGGGTTATAGGGCTTAGGTTCAGGGCTTCTAGGGTTTTGGTTGAGACTCTTCGGGTGTGGTTTTTTAGGTTTAGGTTTGGCCCCAAAACACTGGCCCTGCACAGAAATTTGCACTTCTGCGGATTGAAACACTCAACAAGCACAATCCTGCAAGCACAAATCCCACAGAGGCTCCATTTGTTGTGGCTGAGTTTGCAGTTGGGCTGCCCGGAACCCAGTGGGAGCTTAGCCCTCCAAAGCCCCAAACACTGGCCCTGCACAGTACGCCGTTCGACCACCTGTCTGCCTTGTGGTTGAGCTCGAGCGTGTCCCAAAGCCACGCACCCATAAAAATGGTCGGTCTCCTTGTCTCCCCGGGCCATCCGGCCCTCGCTTGCAGACCTTTTGCTCGGTCCCAGACTTCGGGGCCAAAGGCCTCGTACTCGGTCCGCATCGCCCCGGAGTCCCGGAAGATCTGGGGCTGCCTTGAGGGGTACACGGTGAAAGTAAATGCCACAACTTCCTTTGGGCAAACGAGGACTAAAGCCCAAATGCGGGAATTGTCACCAGACTGTACCCTCCCTCTGGATGCCTTTGAACCATTCTCCTCAAGTTTGATCATTCTAGCACGGCAACAATTTTTATCTCGGGCGATTGCAATCCTCATAAGACCGGAAAGGAGAACCCCGGCTAAACGGTCAGTGAGGGTCTTGGGTGCATAGGCTTGTGAATTGGTACACAACCGGCGGCGTTGCAAGGAGTTGCAAAAGAAGCAAATTTACCAAGTGTATTGCTTTGAGCGCCGCACGGCCCGACACACAATGACTGAAACACGTGTGTTGGTGCGTGCGCACGTACACGCGCATGCACTTGTGCGTGTGCGTGTGCATGAGCGCGCGCGCGCGCGCGTGCGGGGCACTTGTGCGTGTGCGTGCGCGTGTACGTGTTTTGCAGAATTCCTCAAATGAATTCAACCAAGAACCACCTGCCTTTTTGGGGATCCTCCAAACTAGCTGAACAGGGGTGATTTGTTTGACAGGCCCACATGTATCCTTGGGGGGACCCTGCTTTGGGAAGGTAAGTTTTGGCACGCCAAATCAAGGCGAGGCGCTTGACAAGGTCAGGGTGCATGATCCCCACCACTATGACCCAGCGATCCTGAACAAGCCGGGCATCCATCAGCAAGCGCGCGCAAGCTTGGCAATGCGATGTGTCAAAAAGAAGTTGGACCCTTTTGCAAAAAAAAACCAGCAAGAAACTAAGAACTTTACTACTTGGAGGCACTGGCTTCTTTTGACGCATCGCTCATTGGCGACTCATCGATTATCCCACTGTGAAACGTCTTTTCTCATGCCAATTGACCCTGCAGTCCTGATCGCCATCGTGTCGTGCAGAGTGATCGCAGCTGTCGTCAAAGGCAAGCAAGCCGCCATCTTGCCACTCCTTCTCTTCACCCGCCACTGTGAGGAACGAGTTCCTGCAACCTAAGTTGCTGTCGCTTTCATACTAGATTGTTCAACACCAGGCTGGCACCGATGCTGCAAAGTACATGCGGAAGCGTTGGGCAGCATGTCAACCTTCCATGCAAGCTGTGTATGAATGGCTTATTGAGCCTATTCTCTACCAATGCAGGATCAATCTTGAAGTCAAGCTGAAAGTAAGTAAACAGACTGAAACCTTGACGTTTCATTGTAGCAGAGTGCACCATCACCATGACCGATGCTGGCAGACGTTGGGCAACAACCGCCAAAGGCGACCCATTCAAGACCTACTGATAGCAATGAGCAATGAGCAATGAGGATGCTCGGGTTTCAGCTGAATGATCCGAACCGGCAGAAACGGACTGCCTGACTAACAAGGGGACGGACTGTGACTTCAGCCAAGGGCAAACTAAAGGCCGTGTACTCACGGAGGACCCAGAAGCTCATGCGGGCTTTGTGTCAAAGAAAAAAACATCTGCAACGCTTTTCTTTGTTCACTTGCTTGTCTGCTCCCTGACTTGTCTTGCCTGCCACGCGTGCGCTGTCTGCTTGTGTGCTTGCTTCAGTGCCTCCTTGCTTGCGAAACTAACGCTGCTTTCTGAAGCACTGGCAGTGTCAACGTAGTGCAACCAGCATCGCCCAAGTGCGACTGAGCTTGAAACCCCAGAGACCGAGGCTGAGGTTGAGCCGTGCATTGCAGCCACCGCTGTGCAGGAGAATCTTCGTCCCAGGCGCCATACGGAAGAAGCACACCTGACATAGAAATGCTCCTGGGCCAAAAAGGCCCCAACCCTTCTGAGCATCCGAACGGAAAGGCACCCCACGAAAACCCCCTCACACATCTCTCACAAACCACATGGGCTTCGCAGGCATTGCACTCTTCAACCAAATTAAAATCCGGCAAACCAGGCTCACCAATACGCAGAGACAAACGCCTCCTCGGTGTTGTGGTGAATGTAGGGCAGGCCATGTGCGGCGCCCGGCAACTTCCCCCGCAGCAGGTCCACAGTGCGGGGGAAGAGCTTCGCTAGGGCCTCGTCCCAGCGCTTGTCGTTGTAGAGCCGAAGAACGTCCCAGTCCCCATTGCCAGTCAAACGGGGGTAAGCGGCCTCTGCCACCATTAGCCCGCCTTTCTCCAAACACCCCTGCGAAGCAAGCACATCGGGTCTGGCCAGAAACTATGAAAGGTTTACTCGGGCTGATATTATTTGCTGTCAATCAAAACACAAAAACTATGCTAGTGCCTTTCCAGGTTCCTCCAGCTCTTCCTGGAACATGTGCCAATTCTGCTGCAGCACCTCTCCCAAGCAGAGCTCTTGGGGCTCCCACCAGGGCTTCGCACGCAAGTTTCGCACATAGACCGAAGGCGTTTGCCACAGCTCCGTCCAGGCAACCGGGTTCTTCCCCGCCCATTGCAGAGATGTAGCTTCATCAAAAACCTGCTTGCGGGGTTTGGCCAAACCCTTTTGAACATGCTTGAGCCAAGTTGCCACTCGCGAAGGATCCTGCCCCGAACACATATTGAATAAACACGATCCTTAGTTTAAACACATGTAGTGACTAACATGGTTAAGGCTATTCAAACCTCAGCGAGTCCTTGCGTCTCTTTTCAAAAGAGGCCATGATGCAACCAACCCTGCCTGCTGAGCCTCTGGCAGCATGCGCACGGTTTTCAACAGCTGCAGGGCCGTCTCATAGTGAAACCTTGGCATCGAACTGCGAAAAAATACTCACTTGTTGATCGGTGAAAGGAAAGGGAAACCCAAAGGCAAAATGGCTAAAAGTAAGCCTTTGATCTGGCCATGAAACAACGCCCGGCGCTCTTGAAGCTCCCCTTTGCGCTCAAAGTCTGCCAGGCACTCAGGATGCCTTGCCGCATACACGGCCAGCCGAGAAATCAGTGGGTACAGAAAATCGTTGTTGAGGTCCAAAAGCGAATCGATCAGTGTTTCGATAGCCTTCAACTCCACACTCTCAACGGGCACTTGCAGCAACTGCCTGCAATGTTCTTCTGCGAGTTCCTCCAAAGGCTCCGTCTCTTCCTCAGCTCCCGGTCGGTTTCTGTTCCGTTGACGTAGCAGCTCCAAAGAGCAGGCGTGGATGATCTCGCACCGAGTTGCCACCTCTGAGGACCGTGCCAGCTGTCTCTCCAAGCGCCCGAGGTATACGCCGAAACGCGAACGCTGCCAGGTGCGTGTGGCCAAACCTCGACTAAAAGCGAAGCCATGGCGCAAGCACTCCGCAAACATGCGGGATCCCCTGATCCACATGCGCTAGCAATGGCTGCCGCTAAAGTCACTTGCAGAATATGTTCGCAGCCCGGAGATCTGTGTATTTTTGTCAAAGGAAGCTTGGAAACAACTGCCGTGCTACGGCAACTAATTGAAAGCTTTCTTCTTGAGACAAATGATAAGAGAAGAATAACAACGCGGAAAGAAAAATGCTCGCATGCGGAGGAAGAAGAGAAACATCGAAAAAGTGCAAGAAAGGTGCAGCACTTTTGTAGCACTTTCGAAAGGTCATGCGCAGATTTCCTGGCAGGCGTGGCACTTTCATGAGGTTAAGTGCAGATTTTGTGGCAGGCACAGCACTGTCACAAGGTCATGCGCATATTTCGTGGCAGGCGCAGCACTTTCGCAGGGTTATGCCCAGATTTGTGGCAGGCACTGCAATTTCGCCAGGTCGATAGAAAGATAGATAGACAGACAGACAGACAGACAGACAGACAGACAGACAAATAGCTACATCAAAACAGATAAACACGTAAATAATTGGAAATCTAACAAAGAGAAATAGATATGTAGATGAATGGAAAGGCAAAAGAGGTAGCTTCAATAGAGACCGCTGGCTAAATTTGTTTTGTGAACAGATCGTTTGCTAGACACAGATAGGTAGGTTGATGTATGCGTCAAAAAAACATATGCATATATATATATATATATAGAGATAGGTGGATAAATGGATGGACAAATAGACAAATTGAAGAGAGATAAGATAGATAGACTGGTGAGTAAATTGATAGACAAATAGAATGAGTGAATCGATAGACAGATGGTTAACAATGCATAGCTACATAACATAGATAGATAGATAGATAGAAAGCTAGATACCTGGTGGCTGCAAAGATGTACCTGTTCAAAGGTTTGCCTGAAACCAAATATGTTTTTCAGGGTGAGCATAGACACTAATGAGCCACGGCGGATAGAAAGTCGCTCTGCGACGAGACTCAATTACCTCATATCCTGGTAGTAGAGCGGCGCCTCCCGATCGTCCGGCTGCGACTCCAAGCCAACGGTGTGACAAAACGCAATGTTTGGTAAAGTTTGGTGCACCACGCGCGGGTGGTCGTCGCTCCGTCTAGTTTCTTGCAGACGCGCCGGAGGCATCTGTGCTTAGCGTTGGTGCGTGCACCAACTGCTCGGGCGGCTTGGCTGAGGCCATTCTCCAGGCTGAGGCCATGCTCCAAACTGCTGCTGGCAGGTAGTCCTGTAAACAAGGTGGCACAAAAATCACTTTTAGGCGCACCCATGGTGGGCTTGCTCTGTGGTACGCCACGATCAGAATTCCACGGAGGAACGCCGGTGCCATGAAATCTCCTGTAAACCTGATCGAGATATGTGTGCATGAGCCGACGAGCCACTCAGGTTGTGCATAATTCTAAATAGGGTTGGGACATTTGCCAGATTTGGTGGCAGGCTTCACCACGGAGAATGCACCCACGCAGCAAAAATATCACTTTCAGGACGAAACGTTGGCAAAGTGCGCTGACTGAAGGTAGGCGACATGTGTTACATGAGTTCGACAACAGCGCTGCAGCAGCGATGAGGCGTCGACAAAAAATTGCGGCCATCACAGTCATGGCCAATCCAAACTACGCAAAATTGCGGACTGCAATTGCTCTGTCCTGGAATCAGGAAACAAAACTTGCCTAACACTGGTTCCTTGTTCTTGGTGAACGCACAATGCCCAGTGGAGCGGATTCTGATCGTCGATGGTTTTTCTACCGTGGAAGCTCTGCTCTGTTGTTGTTGATGCCGTGTCCGCAAGCGGCGGCGGCAGAGGCAGACCTGGCGTCAGCGCATGAGGCAGTGCGAACATTGCAGGTGGACGGTGTGAAGTGGGCTGACACGCAGAGGCGTCGCAAGAGGGATCTGGAGAACTTGCTTGGATGACATGTAGAAACGGCTTTTCGGTCGCTGCTGAGCAGTTTCTCCGTGGGCACTTGTACCTGGTCTTGCATGTTCGAGCTTCCCGAGCCATGGGGTAATTTGCCTGTCGACTGTTGCCTTATTTGAGGTGGTCTGGTTTTTGTCAGACTGTTTGGAATTCGTGTGTACAGCTCTGTTTTTCCGCTGTGGGAAAAAAGGTTGACGGGACTGAGTTGCCAGCGCAGTGAACCACCATGACTGTGTGAGAATGGATTGCAAAGGCCTGTGGTGCCTGTGCCAAGCTTTGTTTGGCCTGAGAACGCGGGCTGCTTGAAACATATACAGATCTATTTGTTGACCATGGGAAACACCGGAATGCCAGCATCGAATCTGCGCTGGCCGACCCAAGCTGTTGACTCAGACAAGCGCAGCTAAGGGGAACCGTGAAAAACGGACACGGCACTTGGTGTGTTCAGCCCTCGTTTGCCTTGCTGCGATCCTCCCACAAAGGTTTCACGCTCTGCAGAGTTCACAACTGCCTCACTCGACCTGAAGTGCAGCATTTTGTCACTGATGCTTTGGCTTTATGAAGCTCAGGAGAAGGAAATGTCACTTTTCGCGGTTGTGTGTGATTTTCAGGCTGCCAGCGTTCTCCGAGAGGTAGCGCGTGAGCCGTATGACACACAACGGCACAATAGGTATACAAGCTCAAGGAGAGCAAGATACCAAGCAGGACTGCACCACACGTGCAGTTCCCTGTGAACCAACATGGTGATAACGAGGCAAGGATGTCTTCGACAATCTTGGCGCCGACAAGAAAATGAAACCAGGAGAAGATCACCGCACCCACTCGTGTGCCGAAAAAGGGAAAACAAAATGGGGAAAAAAAAGAACACGACAACAAAAACGACAACAAGAACCACCAACAAAGCAAAGCGGAAAGATGGGTTCCTCAGCAAATAACTTTCAAAAGTTCGAATCCTGTTCACTGTTTCAAGCCAAACCGGGACATGTGACAAAACAAGAGCCAACATGTGAAGCGGCGCTCAGCTCTTTTTTGTCAGGGATGCAAATGGATCGACAACGCGTGTCATCATCTGCATCCCGTGCGGAGCCTGAACAACAACAACAACAACAACAACAACAACAACAACAACAACAACAACAACAACAACAACAACAACAACAACAACAACAACAGCAGCAGCAGCAGCAGCAGCAGCAGCAGCAGCAACAACAACCACAAACACAACCACAACCACGACCACGACCACGACAACGACAACGACAACGACAACGACAACGACAACGACAACGACGACAACAACAACGACAACGACAACGACACCGACGACGACGACGACAACGACAAGGACAAGGACAAGGACAAGGACAAGGACAAGGACAAGGACAAGGACAAGGACAACAACAACAACAACAACAACAACAACAACAACAACAACAACAACAACAACAACAACAACAACAACAACAACAACAACAACAACAACAACAACACCAGCAGCAACAGCAACAGCAACAGCAACAGCAACAACAACAACACCAGCAGCAACAGCACAGCAACAGCAACAGCAACAGCAACAGCAACAACAACAACAACAACAACAACAACAACAACAGCAGCACCAACAGCAGCAGCAACAACAACAACCACAAACACAACCACAACCACGACCACGACAACGACAACGACAACGACAACGACAACGACAACGACGACGACAACGACAACGACAAGGACAAGGACAAGGACAAGGACAAGGACAAGGACAAGGACAAGGACAACAACAACAACACCAGCAGCAACAGCAACAGCAACAGTGTCAAGAGACGGCAAGGTGACGTCCCGTGGGACGCTGTCCACCGAACCCTCCAGCCGTAATACCAACCACGTAGAAAGGTGTATACGGTCAAACCGTTATAGCCGAACCCGTGTAAATGTTGTAAGGGAGAAGGAATAATAGTTACAACAGTGGTCCTGACAAATGCAGCGCAAGCGAAGTGTTTTCCGCTCTCAATTGCCGATCACGTATGAACGCAGCTTCACATAAGATCTTGAACCTCACTTGTGACTTGAGCCAAATGGCAATCAATGGAACCTTGTAAGCAACACAAACACGGACCTCAGAACTGCTTCCCAATTTAGGCACGGGGCCAGGAGGGTTTTAACATCCCCCATTTGGGTCGCATTGTTCATCATGCGGTCCAAACACCACAAAACGTTCCACTGGCCACGGCTTCAGCTACGAAACTGTGTTGAACACTCTTTCACTCACTATTGCTACACCGTCCATTCATTGTGAAACTTGCCAGGTCCAATTAAGGCAGAAACATGCATCCGCAAATCGTAGCACATTCCTATACTCAGATGCAAGAGACATTTTGCCTCTAGCCAATACGCAACCACTTGAAATCCCGGCTGCCGCATTTGCGCATCGCGCAGCCGTCATCCACAGAAATGGGTTGGCCATAGAAATCCATAGCAGCGCACGGGCAAATGCCATCTGAACACCATGGGCAAAGAAGATTTGGCGTATATATATATATATATAATGAGAAGGAAATCATCCATGAGGTAATAGTTCCATCCATGAATATCCGGAATGTCATAGTCGTCGGAATATGTAAAAGTATACACATCCATTCATCTTGGACGCATGAAATCATATCATGATGTAGAGTCGTTCCATCGCAACGACGTTGATGAGACGCAAGCAACGGATGGGGACTAGCCCACATCGTGCCGCAATCAACATCTGCATTACGCATACCTGTCTCCAATGGACAGTCTGTGGGTACGTCGACGGAACTCTTCGTCCAAATTCTTTTGGGCTTCTCGCGCCCGGACACACTTCTTGTGATGATCTTCTGGTATCCAATGCCCCATTCGGAGGCACCAATCCAGCAGAGGTGTGTCGCATTTATTCGGGTCAGTGGCTGCAATAATGGCGCTCACATTTACCGAATAACCATATTTGCCAAGGTTCAAGCCATCCCTTACGAACGATATATATTTACAGTTGAAAGCCAGGGAGAAGCATCTGTAAATGATATCACCCACCGGGCGCACGCGATCCTTGACCAGGAGCTTCATTTCGTCCTTGGTGACGTCGAGG